GCTATAAATATGAAATTAAGCTATGAATATGAAATTAAGTTATGAATTTGAAAATAAGTTTTGAATCTGGAAATAGGTTATGAATATGAGAATGAATTCTGAAATATGAAAGTAATGGTTATGAAAATGAAATGTGAAAATGAATATGAAAGTAAGAGATGAACATGAAATATGAAAGTTCTTAAATGTATGTGAATGAAAAAGGAATATGATATGATTATTATGTATGATATTGTTTATTATGGTTTTGATAAGATCATAAAATGATAATTTTCAGGTCCCTGGTGAGGAAAAATGGCTTGAATAAATCGGTTTGGATATTTAATTATTCTATTTGAATTTAAGTTTAATGTTTTAAATTGCTATGATATTCTTAAATTTTATATAAGGAAATATATTGTTTTGATGTTGTTAAGTTGCTTAATATTTCATATCACCTTAGTTTGTTATTGTTGGGATTTTCAGAAGCTCGAATCGACAACCGAAACGGTTTGCAAAGAGGGGTCGGAACGGTTTTGTGTTTAGGGAGTAAGGAGATTGAAAGATAGAGAATTGCACAACGATTTATAGTGGTTCGACTTTCTCAATCAAAGTCTACGTCCACTACCTTAGCTCCTCACCAAGGATTTTCCAACAAATTCACTAATTTGTTCTTTCTTTTGAGGACAAAGAGATAACCTTACAACTCCCTAGTTTTTCTGGGCTAAACTAGAACCTTTCCCTAGCTTTTATACGGGATTAGCTAGAACCTTTCCCCTTTACAAAAGGATAAAATAAGTAAACAAGAAAACCTCTCTAAGGTAGGTGTTTATAAGAATTAAGTTCATAGGAACAAAATATTTACAAGAGAAAGATGAAATAAGAATGAAAAACTCTTCTCTTGTGTTTGATTGCTTGGATGGTTGTTCTCTCTCTTCTTCAAGTGTCATTAGCTTGTATTTATAACTTGTAATGTGTTTGATGTTGTATATAGCCGTTGGGAATGTTTTGGAGTCGTTTGGGGATGATTTTTCTACTAAAAAAGGCTGCCCATAACATGGTGCATCGGTGCACTATCATGGTGCATCGATGCCCCTTCATTAAATTCAAATAAACTAGTCGTTGCAGCCTTCGTGCATGGATGCACAACAGGATGCATCGATGCACTAATTGCATTCGGTGTTTGAGTGCATGGATGCATTGCATGGTGCATCGATGCACTAGTGCAGGTGCATGGATGCACTACAGGGGTCCATGGATGCACTTTGACACCCTTTAGCATTTTTGCTCAAATATGAATTTAATGGACTTTGAATTATTTTTGAAACATTTTTAAAACTTTGAATAAATTCAATTCAAGTCCAAAAACATTTTACCTTAAATTTGTTATATCGAAACATAATTCAACAGTTATAATGTCTCACTAATTGTATACTTAGCGCGTGATGATTTTCATGCGTAGACAAAGACTAGCAAGTGAAGTAAGGAGTTGAGTTTGACACCAATCAACAAAGACTAATTATAAGTATCAGTAATGACATCATACTATTTTAAATTTTCTAGATGACATGTATATGAATAAGATATGTATGAGATATATTATTATAAATATAAATATGAATCTAAGTTATGTGTTTTAGATAAAAAAAATATATTTTATTAGAATAAATAAATATTTTTAAATTAAACAGTTTACTTTATGATATGAAATAGTATAGAACTGTCTAGTTATTGCCTGAAACTGATAATGATTCAAATGTTTAAATATTATATTATTATTTTACGTGATTATATTATTTTATTGAAATGATTAAATTGGATAAATTTTAAAAGTTAAATTTGTTTTGGGTTTTCAATTATAGAATGTATGTAAAAATTATGCGACATGTTTGACTCGTATTCGGGCACGTATACGGGTTATGGGTGTTACATATAATATTATATTTTAAAATAATTTAAAAATTAATTTTTGATGACAAGACATCATATATTATTTAATAGATCGGATTCACCACATCATCCGTGGTCCCAGTAAACGAGTCATAAATTTTAAAATAATTTTTGAATAACCCACTTCTTATTTACATGTAAGTAAGAGGTAAGAGATTCACATTGAAAAAAATGATATGGACAAATATTATTGGTCAGACTATAGATGACATTGTGAGCCAGAATCATCTAATAATTTCCCGTGGATCTATCATGTCAATAGGAAGCGTTGCCCATTAACCAACTAACATTTTCATTTCATTAACGACATTTTACTCCAAAATAAAAAATTAAGACTAAAATGTTAAAAAAAAAGATGGGGGAACAAATTGACCATACGTGTAAACATCCGAGGTAATTATGTTATTATGTCATTTATAAATCGAGATTAACTTAACGACTACCACCCAAGTCTCAATGTGATTGGTATCTTTGGAACCTACGGCATAAAGAAACTTAAAATGGTTTATCTTGATTTCAAGTGGCAATATCTAATTACTTCATCAAGTTAAAATTTGCAGATGAACTGTTCGCTAAAATGCTCAAGAGAAATGAAACAACCGTAGTCATTTTCTTAAAGGGGATCTTAGCTTTAATCATTGGATTTATATGAGCTTCAATGGCTGATCAAATTCCCAACCCAAAGATTCCCGGCCGCCGCATAAAGCTCAACATCGACGACAGGTTTTTCAAGACCACCATCTCTACCATCTACTCCACTGGTCCTGATTCGCTCTTTGTTGCCCTCTCCAACATGTTATGTGTAACTTGTAAAATTACAAGTCTATAAATTGTAATGTTAATAAATGTTGATCAAATTTGATAGCTAGTGAAGAAGTCAAGTTCAAATTTATTATCATAACATTAAATTCAAGTTGACAAGTGAATATGATGAATACCAAAGGTTGACAAATTGGCCACTTGTCAACTTGTGCACATGGTAAAATTTATCTTTGGTTCCTAAACTATTAGGTTATTTATAAGTTTAGTCCTTAAAGTTCAATTATAAATAGGTCTAAACACTTTCATTTGAAACTATCCTAATAAGTTCTCTCTTTTATTTATTTTCTTCATTCTCCGATTTTATAATATTTTGAAAATTTTTAAAAATTTCATTTGTTGTAATATTTTATTCGATAATGAAATTATCATCCATTAGTGGTGTCCGAGGAGTAGATGATATTTTCGTTAAACATCGTAAATTTGGTGTTCTCTCCATTATTTATTTTGTATGTTCATTATTTGATTTTCTCCATTATATTTTAATATTTAATAATTTGACGAATTTATCTATTATATAATTTTGATAGTTTTGATCTTGACATTTTAAGTCATTTTCCAACCCAACCGTCCTCTTCCCCCGTTCTAACCCCATCTTCATCGATCGTGACCCAGAAATCTTCTCCGTTCTCTCTCTGCTTCGTTCTAACCGCCTCCCTTCCATTGCCCTCCGTCAGTTTTCTATCCAGGAACTCGCCGAGGAGGCTCTTTATTATGGTGTTAAGTTTTGCCTCTGCTCTGCCTCTTTACCATCGTCGCTTCGGGGGATAGACGCGTCCATCGTCGATACTGTACGCCCGACTTCGGATGTTGTTCCTTCCACTTTCTCCATGGAAGAAGATGGTTCGCTCTGGATTGCTCACGGTGGTCAGATTTCAATATACGATCCCTACTTATCGTACACCGCCGCCGTGTGGACGCATCTCGATGATATCACCTCGATTTGCCGGGTATGGCCCGAGATACCTGCTGTCGGATCCGAATCCACATCGGGTCTCCATATCTATGACCTCACCAGCGAGCACTATATCAGTTCAGTCCATTGTACCGACCAGGACGATCCACAGATATACAAGGCACGAGTCAGTGCCATCGCTAAATCACCTGACTTGATCTTTGTATCATTCGATTGTCCCCATAGAGAAAACAACATCCTTGTGATCGATAAATCAACGCTCCGGGTTTCATTGGAGTTGACTCGCTAATCGGGAAGCGCGACCAAGAACACAGTCCCTGGAAAGTTGTCATGGCTGCTACAAACTGGTTTGATTATCGGAAGTGCTGTCACTTGTGGAGCATTTGGTTTCTCCGGTTAGATTAGGATATGGGACCCGAGAAGCAAGGAGGTGGTTTGGGAAACGAACGAGCCTAGTTCGGGCAGGAGCAGTAGATTCGGGGACTCGTTTGCTGACGTCGATGTTGACACCGATGATTCACTCCTCTTCAAGATATGTTCGAAATCCGGGAACTTGGCAATGACAAATGTTCGAAAATTAGGGGATGATCCCTGGGTGTATATGGAAGATACAAATCCTAGCTTGAGAAAAACCGGCTATGGTGGAAATGATGTCCATTTGCATTGCTATAAGAGGCAGGTTCATGTGGGGAAGGATGGAGGACTCGAGGTTTGGTCGAGACAGAACTGGATCGTATGAAGCATTTAATCCTCGGGAAATATCCGATAACAAAGATCGAAGACCGGAGGTTAGCTTTAAGAGGAATCATGTGGATAAGGCGCTAGATGCTGAGAGAGGGATGATAAAAAGAATTGAAGGAGGTGGAGAGATTGTTTGTAAGCAAAGAAAATGTGGGAGGGATTGAGGTTTGGGAGAGCTCCAATCATTCCGGAATCTTTCCCGTCTCCCTGAACACAAAAATCGAGATCTATTGACATCAAACCAGTCGATCTCCAGTCTCGTGGATATGCTTTGAGTCCGCTTGTACGAAGATCGGGTCTCTGGAGAGAGGCATTGTATTCTTTCCATACATTTGATTTTGGTTATCCTCTTGTTCTTGTAATGAGCTTAGCTCAAAAATCATGTTCAGCAATAATATCTCAACAAAAAGTTTTACCAGTTAAGATGTTATAATAATGATCTTGGCACAGATGCAGATGTGAGTACGATCTCGTCATACACATTTAATCGAGTGTTTGTGAGTGTCGTATATGAGTATCTGTAAACATAATCAATAAATAGATTACGGTCGCCAAATCTTCGGTTTCAAACATAATCAATATTTCCATAGTCGAATCAAAATCATAAAATAACGATCGTAAAAAACACGGATAGAATCAAAATTATAAAACCGAGATCATTCTTGTAACACAAATGTACTCCCAAACACGATTTTAATAGTAGAACAGTAACAGGAAAATTGCAAAGGTAACATCGGTAAAATAAGGTACCTGACCTGAGCCAGACAATTCTCATAAACCAAAGAACACCAAGATTAGGTTGTAAGCTCCATTATAGCGGAAACAATGTCACCATCAGCAGCCTTGAGTGCCTTGACAGCCTTTGCCCTGGAAACACCTGCTTGTGTCATGACCAATTCGATGTCCTTGGGCTCAACATCTGTCTCGTCCACTTCTTCGTCGTCCTGGACATTGGTAGATGTCTCGGGCTTTGATATCACATTGCTTAGATCTGGAGCCTTGAATTGCTCAGCAGCTTGAGTCTGGAGTTGCGAGCTTAAGTCCTCGATCTTGGCCTCTCCGAATATTATGTACGTATCTGATGCTGGGCTCTTGAACACATCAGGTTTTGAGATGACGAACAAGATCTGAATTCATCAAGGAAAATTGGTTATCAAATTTACAAAATAAAATCCAGAGATCAGTTTTGTTCAAATTTAGAATTTGGATCACAATGATTAAGTTCCCTTTTGCATAAAAGGAATTCAGATTGTGTTTCATGTATAGGAATTGCAGATATAATGAAAACTACGATTATGGTTAGACCAGACAGTGGAAAGAACCAAAAATACAAACATGAACCACATGACATGCTAGGAGGATCTCCGCTTGAAAACTATACGATAAGGGAACTTACGTTCTTGCTCTTCTTCACTGTAACCCGGCTAACACCAGGAATAGGTTTCATCCCAAGCTTCAACATAGCTTTGCGACTCTTCTTCTCGCTTCTGCTTTGCTTTGACCTACCAGCTCCATCACCTTCTCCATCATGATGTCCTAGGGCATAACACAATACAAATTATACCTTTGCGGATAACTCAATGGCGTGTTATTTTCACTGAATGTGAAACTCTACACAGAGTGATCCATAGACACATTTCAATCAGTCGCATCTGGGGCAATTTAGGTGCGGTTGATGCAAGGCGCATGTCAAAAAGAAAACTCATATAATTGCATTTTACCTAAAACGTTTTGCAAGGCAATATCAAACATTCAAACCTTTCTGTACTCGAGTATTCAACGAGAAACTTAAAACAATATGGAAAGCATGTAAGCCGTAAATAAAAATTTACACACGAATATACTTCTCATCATTTGAGTAATTATTAGGCTCACGAGCTACTCGAGGTCAAGGATTAAGACACTCGAACTCAACTCAACAACATCGAGCAATTTTGAACCTGAATGGCTTGGTCACACACAAGTGCTATAAAACACAGCTCAGAAGTAAGAAATTTCTTGTAGGATCGAAATCGCAACAAGGGTATAATCTCGGGACTAGGAGTCCAACATTCAACCAACAAATTACATTGCTTTTGGCTTAAAAGTAAGACCATGTAGGAGCAGAACCTAGTCAATCCAAGTCAAAAGAGTACACAGCTTGCTTTTAGAAGATCAAACACGTGTATTCAAGGTTCAACAAGCTCAAATCGACATGAATTCGGCTAGATCGACTAGTTTAACAATTCGAGTTACATCATTACATGGTATGTCAAGTCAGATACTCGGATATCTAGAAATCAAACTCAGAAACAAGTGAATCTTACTAGACGATTTAAGCATATTTCCTAATATAAACCGAAGATCAAATAAAAATCCACGAACTATAACAACAGCATTGCTCATAACATTTTAACCCAAATCACCTTGAAAAGTTGAAAAAATGTAAAGAAATTCATGGAAAATGGACACTCACCTTCGGCATCGTCTTCATCTTCTTCGTCCTCGTCATCTTCCTCGTCGTCATCTTCAACAACAGGCTGTTCAGGTTGCTCCGACTGTAAATCATGAAAAAAAACAGAATTACAAAAAATCAAGAGATAAAGAATAAATATTGATTTCAGGAATATATACATCGATTTTTTGTTGGTCGAGATGAGCTGCGAGGATTTCTTCGATCTCTTTGTTGGCCTGAGCAGTCATTTTTTTGTTGAGAAAAAGAAGTAGAAGCACAAGCACAAACCGAAAACCCCAAAATCAAAGCGGCGGCATCTGTTAATTATGCTTTTGGAGCTGCCATTGGACCGACTCCATATCACCTATAAGGCTATAAGCCCAAAACATTAATATGTATGTATATATATTGGGGGGGGGGGTAAATTACAACGTTCCTCACTGAGCATCTCTCATCTATTTTTCTCAAGTAACTTTTAATTTGATCAATTTACTCATTAAATTTTATAATCGAATTATTTTACTCACTTGACCGTTTTCTCTCTAATAACTGATGATGTGAAATTTTATTATTATTTAAAATAAAAACAGAAGGTGACTGGATTTCATCGTTGGCCACCGTCGACCACCATAGATGGTGGTCGTTTGGTCATACTCAACACCTTGAGTCTGAATCCAACCTCCATTTTGTCGGAACTTGCTCCGAAGTCCACAAATTTGAGATTGAAAGTGAAGAAACTGAAACATGTTAGTCCAAATTCACGGTTTTAGGACATTTTCCAGTGAAACAACCACAGATTTGGACTCAGGGGGTCGAGACGAATCGACCCATAAAATTTGGGATCGAACGACCACCATATACGACTGTCAATGGTGGGCAGTGGAGAGAAAATGAAGAAGAGAAGGAAAAATATAAATTACACCATGAGTCACTGAACTTTACTCTCTTATTTTACTCACCGAAAACAACGTCGTTTTGGAGTATATTTGAGTTTTTCAAAACGATGCCGTTTTGATGCCTGTGTCACGTCATAACGTCGTTATATAGTTAACGACACAGTGAGCAAAATGATTCAATATGTAAAGTTCAGTGACCAAATTGATCAAATTGAAAGTTGGGTGAGGAAAATAGGAGAGAGAGTAAGGTTTAACGAAAAAGGTGTAATTTACCCTATATATTATATGGTTAATTTCAACAAACATGCCCAAGCAGTTATTATTATTATTATTATTTTGTAACAAGAGAAAATAAATTGCATTAGCAGTGATTAATCTTCTTCTCCACACAGCCATATCAAGTTGGAGGCTTTGGATTTCATCAGTTGGGTGTTGCAGCACCAAGGGCCCGGTTCCGTTTGTTTTCCGATGAATGTAAGTTATTTAAATTATTTATTGGAATTAGAAGAACTCGAGTACTATACGGACGATCAACACTACAATCGCCTAAAACTTAACTAATTTTAAAAAATGAATCATTTTATAGTATTTGTAACATTCACGGTCACAATGTTACAATCACATTAAATAGTGGTTCGCATTATCTCTGTGACCGTACTGTTATTATAGGATCACCATCTTTATAATCATCGCGATAATATCCGTTATATCTATAATAGCATAAACACGACATGATTGAGAACACGTCACGACTCAATATTAAGCAAACCCACCCATGAAAGGTGCATTTACACTGGCGTTACTGCAGTAAAGACAAGGGATCTGCTCAACTCCGATCCCATCCTGCTTTAATTTCTCTCGAGCTTCATACACAAGTCTTGTATTCACCGGACAATCCCGACGTTTTCCGAGCACTTTCAGCACCGCATCGGTAAATGCCCCATAGGCTTCTCCTCTGACGATCACGTCGAATGATGTCTCGTTCGCATCACACCCACTGATCAAAATCCCACTGTCTCCCGTCGGACTCGGATCTGTCTCTTGTCGGTCGGACTTGGAAACGGACATGGATCTGATGCTATGCTTATGATATCATGAATGATTTTATAGTTGATGCTCTTCTTGACCAGTCTGCATATGATGTAGGAAATGGTATCATTGTGTTGGACCCGACTTCTTCTTTCCCTCCGGCGATGAGAGCGCCGCTGTAGCTGAAATCCGCCGCGATTGTCAATGTCGCGCCTCCTGTAGTTGGTCAACTAGATGCCTCAAGTCCATGCCCTGAACACCCATGATCCATGTTTACTTAGGGTAACTTACGGTTTTTTTCTGTCTTTGGGTAGTTTACGGTTTTTCTCTGTCTTTGGGTAGCTTACGGTTTTTTACCATTGTTTACGGTTTTTTATCGCTTTTTTTTATCTTTTTTCTTATAGTTGAATTTGACATCACTATGACTGATCAAAATTGCGCTTATTTGTTATCATGATGATATTCCCTACTTTGGACCATTGGATTAAACTGGATACGCGTTTTACGTTCGTTGACAGTTTTCTCACGTTACTTGACTTTGATTTGCGATTTGTCAGTGGTCTTTTAATACCTCCATCTCCTTTTGTGGTTCGTTTACCAATGCAATCAGATTTATTCGTATCTTTATTTTATTAGAGTTTTTTTGTTAGGTTTTTTAACATTTTTCTTATTTGGTCTTTATGTGATCTAAGTGGCTAGTTTTTATCTCAATAATAATATGAAATGCCATAATTATATTTTAGGTTTACGGTTATAATTTTAAATATTGATTGTAATTTTGAATATTTTCTATTTTTAATAAAAACTAACGGATTTCTAAAATAACTATGTTAAGGATTGGATGCTTGTAGAGGAATTTTATTTTGAAGTTGAGTTTAGATGGATCAAAAGTTCAAACTGACCCATGATCATATCCCTCAATTCAACTATGTTAATCACACAAGGGAGTTAAGATGCATATGATTGATTATGGTTCTAGAGGTATAAGAACATTTTTAAGTTATCTTAATAAGATTCAGGAGTTAAGTTATATAATACTTCCTCTGTCCCGTTAAATCTGTCAATTATTGATTTTTTGTCAATTTTTTTTAGCTTTGATTCATCATTATTTAGAATTTATTCTTGATAAAAATATAAAAAATATATTTTAAATATCTTAAAACAAATAGTTTTTAAATATATATTTTATAAAAGTTAATTATTTAAAATATTTCAAATAAGTATAGTCAAAGTTTACAAATTTTGACGTTTCGAAAATCAATAATGAACAGATTTAGCAGAACAGAAGAAATATTAATTATGGGTTTAGATGCAACATAAGACGATACATATATTAAAGCCTTTCTTATTTATCATATATAGCCATACGCATATAGAGATATACAATGGCATACGTTTGAAGGGCTTAACATAACAGACACAAACACACTATAAAAACATGGATAAACAGACAAACAGTGGTAGATCTAAGGCAACCGGCCATCGAACTTATTGTACTAGTAGTAATAGCAGTGCAAAACATAGCACATTACTATTGTTATTATGTCGACGGCCGGAATCCGAGGCTTAGCGGCAGCGTTCTGACGAGAATTCAAACAAAACCGCCCAAGAAAGGCTTATCTTTGTTCTTATCGCTGCAATAAAGGCAAGGGTTCTGCTCAGTGTCATATGTTTTTTCCCCTACAGCCTTGGCAGCCTTAGACAAAAGCATTCCGTTGGTTATCTCATCGTTCGACGAGGCCTTTTTTAGTATGTAAACCACTGCATCAGTGAATGCCCCGAAAGCTCGACCACCGGACACGATGTCGTACGACGTCTCGTCGGCTTCACATCCGCTTAACAAGATCCCATCATCCTCCTGTAGCGGATCCAGCTCGAAAGCCCCGCCCATGTAGTGACGATGGAACTTGAGGCTCACGTCTTTCCCGAAGATCTTGTGAGCACCCTGGGCGATTTTATGTACTCCTTCGTGTGCGAAGCCCGCAGCTGCATCGATCGCGTCACCGGCGAAGCCCGCCGCCGCGTCGATCGCGTGGGTTATGAAATCAAAAATAAGGAACTTTGCCTTAACCTTGACCTTACCCTTGGGCTGATCATCAGTAGTTTCTGGCGTAACTCTTCCTTTGAAAGGTAGAATTTGTCTTTTCTCTTTTTCAATGAGGCCACCGCTGTGGCATGAATCTGAAAGCATTGTGAAGCTTGCTCCATCCGGTAGCCGGTTAACAAGACGCCTGAAGTCCACATCTACAGAACAACGTTTATATATGTTATACCTCCTTCAGACACTATAAACAATTTAGTTTGTCTCATTAAAAAGTGAATAAAAAATATGGGTATATCATTTTTCAAAGGAAGATTATAAAATTTTAGACCCTCGTTTTCTAATTCTTAGATCCGTCATTGAATCAAACAAATACAGCACAAAAAAGGAGAAAGAAGCCCTATACCAGTGATGAGATTCAAATCACAAGGCACGATGGCTTCGTCCTGCCTGAAATGCTTGTGAGCTTCCAGGACCGGAATGGCAGTTCCGTGTCCACTGAAGTAGAAAAACAGGACGTCTCCTGGTTTAGCCTTTTTCGCCATTGCATTAAGGGCAGCCCTAATGTTGGCACCGGTCGGCAGCGACGACGACGGAACCGGTGAATTGTGGTTATCAGTAAGGACCTGGATATTTTTCTCTTTGAACCCAAATTTCTCATGGATCACAACTTTTATGGCCTCCACGTCATTGGCGCATCCGTTCAACCTGAATTTCGTGTAGGGATAGTTGCAACCTACCAGAACAGCTCTCTTCGTCACCTTTGCCATCTTGCTTGAATTGTTCTGTGTTGCTTGTTTCGTTTTTTTGCACCCACTGGCTCATCGCCCATCGGGTACCTATATATATGCTGCATGCTCCATGACCATAAGGTAATAACGATGACAACATGGCGGTTGCTGCAATTTTTTATTTTCTTGACTTTTGTGTTTAATAAATGTAATACACTTTCCTCTCTTTTTTCAAAGTATTTTATATGAATTGTGGAATCAAATACATTGTGTTGGATAAGATTATAAGAAACGTTGTTGTATTTTTTTATTAATTAAATATATATTTTCAATCTTATAATATTTATATATTTTTCAATTTTATAATATTTATTCTATTGTCGTACATAAATAATCATTTAGTTAATTAGAAATAAAGACCTCGTAACATAGTAAACTGGATTAAGAGGATTATCCTGCAATGGATCTCTACAAAATTCAATCTGAATTAATCGACGTGACACAATAATAAAATTGTAAAACTTTCATTTTTGGAGGAAGAAGAGAAAATTAGAAAGAAAAAAAGAAAATAATGTAGACAACGCATGGATTTCATGTTAATAAAAAGTTTCCTTTTATTAATTCGGGGTAAGTACAATGCACTATCTGTTCAAAGAACACTCTCAACACTTTAACATTGAACGCTCACAAATCTAGCATTAATGATACTTGAACACAAGACCTCAAAGAATAACAACAATTCATTTATCATCGAGGTCACTTAATTCGTGCATGTCAATAAAAAAGTTGTCACATTAGCACACATGCATATCATGCCACCTTTCTATTTATGATTTAACACCTGATGGATCAAAATGTGAGAAAATCAAAAGTTTAATGAGCAAACTAAAAATTTATAAACTTTAGCGATCAAATTAAGAATGCAAAAAAATTGAAGTGGTAAAATTTATAATTTACCCTTTCCTTAACACACTCAAACTCACAATATCTTTAAATATTATTTTTTTTTTAAAAAAATCCTCATTAAAAACCCCTTCTAAATCATACAAGAGAAAAAGAGTCCACAAAAATATATTATTCAAAAACAATATCGTTTGATACAGTAAAATTAATAATCTCGAGACAAACAGAGTCAAATAACAAATAATGACCAAAAGTAAGGGCCCATGACGTTAACCTATGGACAAGAATAGATAACACATGAGAAAATACATTGGATTGCAAAATATTACGAGCTTTAGACAGACGAAAATCAAGGGTTGATAAACTCAACTATCTTTTATTTAGCACAAAAATATTTTATTTATTATAAAATTTACCTAAAATGGATATAAAATCAAACTCCATTGGTCATATTTAATAGTATAAGTTAGTTAGAATCAACGTTCTTCTCAAGTGTCCATATATTTTAATATTATCGATTAGTTGTGCTAAATATATCATAATAAATAAATAAACAATATATTTATATTTTTAAGAAATTTACTGAGTATAATTATGCATAATGCATATTCAAATAATAATAGAAAATAATAGGATTTAAAACTATGAATTGAAATTATATTTGTCCTATGTTATACCATCCAATTAGTCGGCTAGTAGATGGATTCATATACATAGACGTCAGTGCACGTGCATTAAAATTGATGAACAAGGAATTTTATACTTGTTGAAGTTTGGTGGATAAATAAATATGCATAGAAATGTTAATGAATTTAATGCAGGGATGAACTGAACGACGGGTGAAGATAGTCGTTCTTGAAAGATTAAAACCATCATGTTAAAAGCAAACTTAATAATACTTAGAGATGGTCAAAATGCTTGAACCCGACAGGTCCCGACTCGACTCGAATCTATAAGGGTGGGTTTTTTTTTTAATTTTGAGATTCGAGACAGGCGGGCCAAATTATACAATAGGTAGGTTCAGGGCGAGACGAGACCAAGTTCAAGGTGAAATCACCGACCCGACCCGATATAAACCCTTATATTTATAATATTTAATATTATATATTTATTTATTTATTTTTATAGTATTAAAATATGTTAATTAATTAATAAAATATAATAAATTATTATTTATTATATTACTTTAACAATTTAAAATATAATAAATGATTATAAAAATATTATTTTAATTATTTTAAAATATCAATTTACTCAGATCGAGTCGGGTCGAGATCAGAGTTTTAATCTAAAAATCAGAACGAATTTAAAACAGAAAAAAATTAAAAACTATAGAGACAAGACCAAGATTAAATGTAAACTATATATTTTCGAGTCAAGATCAGGACAACCAAAAAATTAGTCCGTCCCACCTTATACATATCCCTGTTAACACTTCCATGAAACACTTAGATCAATTGATAGAGAAATTCACCTATAGTTTATTATGCCCCCTTGTAGAGGCTAATTTTGAAAATATGTTATGTGTATACATTTAAAGATATATTTTTTTCCATAAAAGTTAAACTCGTACGCAATTCATTAACTTATAATTTCACTAATATCTTCTTTGTTTACGTTCAAAGAGTTAATGATAAATCTAATAACATTGTTAAACACAACAGCTACCGTTCTATATTTTATATATACTATTTGCAATAACGGGAAAAATGCCCATAACAACTACCTTTTCTTTGTCTATTACGATGATGGTCGTAGATTTATTATTATTATTATTATTATTATTATTATTATTATTATTATTATTAGGGTAATCTATGTCAAATACCACTCATCTTTATGCTCGGGATCGAAAATGCCACTGACGTTTCAATTTTGCCAATTTTAAAACTCACGTTTATATTTCACTTTAATTTTGCCACTCCGCCGTTAATCCGTTAACGGCACGATGACATGGCATGGACGGGCCGTAACATTGATGACATGGATGCCTTACAAAAAACGATGTCGTTTCAACACAACTATTTTGATGCTCAATAAAGACAAAACGACGTCGTTTTGCTTGAAAAAAATTATTGAAATATTATGCAACTAGAGGGATTTGAACCCCAAACCCCTTGAAATTAAACTAAATGCTTAACCATTGAATTGCATTATATTTTTCTGTTATGTTTTCTATAAAAGTTTTAAAATTTTAAAACTCCAATTAATAAACCCCAAATAAAATTATTACTTAACCCCTGGCATCGATATCTAATACCCTTTATTTCCGTCTACATTCTCTTGTTTTCATCACCATATTCTCAAAGTTGTTGCTTTTAGTAAATTCAAGAAAACACCCAGCAGATGTACAAGTTCTCAAAGATCTGAAAAATGGTGTGGACCCTCCTTCCATTGCTCCGGAAGTAAGAACACCGAGGAAGGTGACATCATCAGGCATTCCATGTGTTTGCTTCATTTCAAAAAAAATATTCTCAATGCATCTTCAGCATAACCGTTTTTGGCAAACCCGAATATCATCAAGTTCCAGCAACTAATACCGTTCTTGCTATTCATTTCATTGAAAACTTGCACAGAACATTTAACTTCACCGCATTTAGTATTCATATCTACAAGGGCACTAGTTGTTAACTCGTCTGAAACATAACTGGTATTATAAACTAGTACATGGACATGTCTGCCTACTTGCAAAGAAGATAAAACAACACATGCTCTAAGGACACTAACAAATGTAGCTTGGTCGGGCAATACATTGCAGCTACGCATCTCTCGGAAGAAGTGTAAGGCCTCCTCATTGCAGTCATTTTACGTATGACCTGAAATTAAAGCAGTCCATACAACGGCACTTTCCCAGTTTTTAAACTATTCAAACAGATTTCCTGCATATGTATCTCTAAGGGAGTTCAGGTAAATGCACATGAGAGAAACCCCCAAGAATTCTTCACCATACAAAAGGCCTCTCTTTACTATAAGACAATGGATTTTCCTTCCGACGTTCAACTTATGAGGTTCATTACAGGCATCTAAAAGGCTAATGTATGTTACTTCAGATGGTTTCAATCCATCCACATGCATATCTTTTAGTAGGATAATTGCTCGATCTAAATCATTTGGTTCATATCCAGAAATCATAGAGTTCATGGAGACCACGCTCCATTGAGACATATCATAAAGGACTTTGTATGCATCCCCAATGGCCCCAGATTTAGCATACATGTCAATAAGGGAACTTCCTACATATAGGCTCTTATCTAAACCAGATTTGACTGCAAGAAAATGAACTTGCTTCCCTTGCTCAAGACTCTGAACATTTGCACAAGCATTGAGTATACAAGTCAAGGAAACTTCATCGGGAACAATCCCATATAAAATCATTCTTCGAAACATTCTAAAAGCCTCAAGCTCATTCTAATCTTGCATGTATCCAACAATAATTGTATTCCAAGAAACGTTATCTCTATCTTTTATGATCTCAAATTGCTTCCTTGCATCCATAACAACCAATGCATTTGCCACAAATAAATTTGATGCAAATTTGTTCTTTATAATAAACTCATGAAATTGGTGACCTATTTCCAGACATCCTAAGCTAGCACATGCACTCAAGATTCTTGTATAGGTGAACTCATCAGGGTGAGAATCAGATCCCTTCATCTGAGAAAATAACACAAGGACCTCATCGGCGTATGCGTACCCATTTTGCACAAAACCTCCGATCATTGCATTCCACAAGACAACATTTTTCTCATGCAACTCATCAAACCTCCGTCTACATGACCCACGGCTATGGCTCTGACACCGACTGGCTCTTCCAGAAGATTTGCATAAGTTTTTCCATTTGGGGTTATGCTGTTTTCGCCGTCGATCTCTTCGGTCATAGAAGATCCGATGGTCTCCGTTGCTACTTAGGTACTTTCCACTAGAGTGGATTGAATCATCACCGCCATCGACATTGGAGTTCCACTGGGAAAAAGAAGACATATGTCACGTTATAGCGAAAGTTTACGACGATAACAAATGCCACCATCGCAAATTCTACAATACCTTTGAAAACGATGACGATTTAACTCCACCTCCAGTGCCTATAACCCCTACAGACCGATAAGGGTAACCAGATCTGTTGAACTATGTTTTGATATAACAATTTAAGGCAAAATGGTTTTTGGACTTGAATTGAATTTACAAAATGTTTTTGGACTTAATTGAATTTATTTAAAGTTTTTTAAAAGGTTTCAAAAATAATTCAAAGTCAATTAAAATTCGGATTTGAGCCAAAAATATTTTAAGAGGTTTCAAGACTGCCCAGGGGGTACAGATTCCCCCCCAGGGGGTACAGATTCCCCCCCAGGGTTTTTGGCTCCGAGAAAACAGAATGTCCAGGGGGTACCGATTCCCCCCAGGGGGTACCGATTCCCCCTGTTCAACAGCCCAACTGTCATAATATTTGAATATTATGAAGGGGTATCGATTCCCTATGAAGGGGTACCGATTCCCTCTATTCTGGGCAACCTTTTTGAGTAGAAAAATCATTCCCAAACGGCTCCAAAACATCCCCAACGGCTATATACGACTTCAAACACATTCCAAGCTATAAATACAAGCTAAGAACACTTGAAGAAGTAAGAGAACAACTATCCAAGCAATCAAACACAAGAGAAGAGTTTTTCAATCTTATTTCATCTTTCTCTTGTAAATATTTTGTTCTTGTGAGCTCAATCTTGTAAACACCTACCTTAGAGAGGTTTTCTTGTTTACATTTCTTATCCTTTTGTAAAGAGGAAAGGTTCTAGCTTAGCCCGTGTAAAAGATAGAGAAAGGTTCTAGTTTAGCCCAGAAAAACTAGGGAGTTTGTAAGGTTACTCTTTATCCTCAAAAGAAAGAACAAATTAGTGAATTTGTTGGAAAATCCTTGGTGAGGAGCTAAGGTAGTGGACGTAGACTTTGATTGAGAAAGTCGAACCACTATAAATCGCTGTGCAATTCTCTATCTTTCAATCTCTTTACTCCCTAAACACAAAACCGTTCCGACCCCTCTTTGTAAACCGTTCCGGTTGTCGATTCCAGCTTCCGAAAATCCTAACAATTGGTATCAGAGCCTAACTCGTTAAGAAGGTTTAACCACCTTGAGACGATCCTAGAAGAAGCTCTACCAATTCCCTACACAACCGAGAAGATGACTTCCACCTCCGGCTCGTTCCACATGGAAGACTCCCTACCAACCGACAAACCTCCATACTTCAATGGAGTCAACTATCATCATTGGAAGAAATTAATAAAGGTATTCATCAAATCCAATGATCTTGATGTATGGGAGATAATCGAGAATGCCTACTCTTCTCCAAAGAAGAAGGAGAAGAAGCGGAGTGACAAAGAACGGAAGAAAGCTCAACTTAATGCCAGGGCCATGCACATGTTGTTTTGTGCATTTGGTCTTGAAATCTATGAAGGGGTTTCTTCATGTTCAAATGCCAAGGAGCTTTGGAATAAGCTCGAGGAAATCCATGGAAACAAGAAAGAAGAACCAACAAATGTGGTGTCTCTAATGGCTTATGAAGAGCCCGAGGTATCTTCTAACTCAAATGAATTTAATTTATATACGTTTGATGAGTTACAAGATGCTTTTAATAGGTTATATTCGGAGTTTGAGACCATGAACTCCAAATATAAGAAAATGATTTCAAAATTTAAAATTAAAAACGATTTTCTTTTTAAAACAAAAATAGATTTTGAAAGCCAAAATGAAATTTTGAAAAAAGATTTAGAGCTTTCAAAAATAAAAATTGATAGTTTTGAAAAACAAAATTTTGATTTAAAAGTTAAGCTTGAATGCTTAACAAAAGAAAAAGAAATCATTTTAAATAATTCATTTAGTTCAATAATGACAATATGCTCACATTGTCATTATCATGGTCATTTGGAACATACTTGTCCTTTGAAGAAAGGAAAACATTTTAAAATTAGGCAAGTATGGGTTCCGAAAGGAACAAGGGGCATTGAAACTAACGTCCAAGGATCCAAAGCAATTTGGATACCAAAATCGAAATGAATGTCTCTTGTAGGTGTGTGGGAGCAATGGTGATGAAGATGATGATATTCAAGATGCTCTAGCCACACATGAAAAATGAATGGGTAACCTCTAAGCTTAATGCTTTTAATTTTGGTTATTTGGTTGCTCATTTAATTTTAAGCATGCATGAGTTTTGATTTTAAGTAATTATGTATTATTTTTAATCTCATGTATGTTAAAAGGAAATTATGATGAACATTTTAATGTCTTAATAATTTTTCAAAATTTTTAGTTCATCATAATAAAATTTTGGTCAAATTTGGTTGTAATGCAATTGATATCTCTCTAACAATTGATATCAATTTTTCAAATACTTTGATTTTACAAATTTTAAAAATTTTTACCTAAATTTAAATGTTTATGCATGTGGTTTAAATGAAAATGATATCTCTCTAACAATTGATATCAAAATTTTCAAATGCATAACATTTTTGGAAAACTTTATGCATATGCACTTAATTTTAACAATTGGTATTGCATAAAGTATTTTAGACTTGGATACATTGAATTTCATGTACTACTAACATGTTTGTTATTCTTTGTTGAAATTCAATTTTGTTTAAGTGTCATTATCCTAAAAGCTTAATATTGTTTGAAATGCATTTATTGAGAGAGAGCTTTTGATTTTTCAATTTTTTTTTAAAATATCAAATTTACTACTTACTCTCCAAAGTTATTTTGAACTTCAAAGATCGAATTATTTTTGATATAACAAAAAGGGGGAGAAGTTTGGTTTGAAAAATTCAATTTCTTAATGAAAAAGGGGGAGCTTAACATTTTCATATGTTTTTCAACAACTAGTATCTTTTTCATTAAACATTTTATTAAGGAGGAGTTTTGCCAAAAACAATTTTTCAAATGTTTTGTTATATCAAAAAGGGGGAGATTGTTGAACTATGTTTTGATATAACAATTTAAGGCAAAATGGTTTTTGGACTTGAATTGAATTTACAAAATGTTTTTGGACTTAATTGAATTTATTCAAAGTTTTTTAAAAGGTTTCAAAAATAATTCAAAGTCAATTAAAATTCGGATTTGAGCCAAAAATATTTTAAGAGGTTTCAAGATTGCCCAGGGGGTACAGATTCCCCCCCAGGGGGTACAGATTCCCCGGGAACAGATTCCCCCCCAGGGGGTACAGATTCCCCCTGCAGGTTTTTGGCTCCGAGAAAACAGAATGTCCAGGGGGTACCGATTCCCCCAAGGGAGTACCGAGTCCCCCCTGTTCAACAGCCCAACGGTCATAATATTTGAATATTATGAAGGGGTATTGATTCCTTATGAAGGAGTACCGATTCCCTCTATTCTGGGCAACCTTTTTGAGTAGAAAAATCATTCCCAAACGGCTCCAAAACATCCCCAACGGCTATATACGACTTCAAACACATTCCAAGCTATAAATACAAGCTAAGGACACTTGAAGAAGTAAGAGAACAACTATCCAAGCAATCAAACACAAGAGAAGAGTTTTTCAATCTTATTTCATCTTTCTCTTGTAAATATTTTGTTCTTGTGAGCTCAATCTTGTAAACACCTACCTTAGAGAGGTTTTCTTGTTTACATTTCTTATCCTTTTGTAAAGGGGAAATGTTCTAGCTTAGCCCGTGTAAAAGCTAGGGAAAGGTTCTAGTTTAGCCCGGAAAAACTAGGGAGTTTGAAACGTTACTCTTTATCCTCAAAAGAAAGAACAAATTAGTGAATTTGTTGGAAAATCCTTGGTGAGGAGCTAAGGTAGTGGACGTAGACTTTGATTGAGAAAGACGAACCACTATAAATCGCTGTACAATTCACTATCTTTCAATCTCCTTACTCCCTAAACACAAAACCGTTCCGACCCCTCTTTGCAAACCGTTCCGGTTGTCGATTCGAGCTTCCGAAAATCCTAACAAGATCCGATCCGGGGTGTCACATTTGGGCCACCGGAGCGACCCACCGTAAAAATAGCAGAAAATTTAAAACTTTTTATCAGAACATGTAAACTTATAAAATCATTTGCCACTATTTAAAAATAAAACAGATTTCCAGACTCGTATATAAAACAAAATACAATTACATACCCCCTAATCACATGTACCATACTCAGCAACAACTCCGGACGAACTCCCTTACTGAAGTCGATAGATGCACTGGTACAATTATTTTAACCTGAAAAGGTGAGTAATAGAGTGAGCCTTGGAAAGCTCAGTAATACAGAACTATCAGATGATGCTGATGAACGTGCAGATACATATAAATATTTATTTCCTTATTGTTTCCGAACATTTACATATTTTTATGCTGAGCAGAGATCCTGCTGATATTTCGGGTGCTAACGGACAATGAGCTTTCAGTTCAGATAAATATTTCGGATGACTGAGTTCAGGAGATCAGAATAAGTTTTCTAGTGTGTTCCCAAAAACCATGTAACTTTTCAGATCTTTTTAAAACATATATATATACCCCCATCCAACAAGTCCAAATTGTGTAGGTTCCCCAGAACCATACACCCACCATCAAGTCCAGTAGGCCCTGAGCACACAGCCGAGGAACCGGTAAATAAGGCCCTGAGCACACAGCCGAGGAGCCTCCAGGTATACTTCCTCCAACATTACCCACCAAGTAAAATATGTTCGTCCGTAAACGGATATATCAAAAATCAAAACATAAATCAGGTCAAGTATCATATCAAAATCCAGGTCAAGTATCAGATCAGAATCCAAGTCAAGTATCAGATCAAAATCTATGTCAGATATCAGATAGAATCCATGTCAAGTATCAGATCAGAATTCAAATCGAAAATCAGATAAAATATTCATGTGAGTAGGGAACACACTAGAGTTTACAGATAGTATTCAAAGATATTGGATAATCTTAACAAGTAGGGGAACACGGATCTTTAGTATACCAATAGAATATCAGAATCCCTATTGAAAGAGTTCAATAACTGACAGAATCATCAGTTATTCAGAATGTGACTTGAGCTGATAAGGAAGAAATGAAGGTTCAGGACATTTATATTATATGTTGATTGATCGGATTATCAGACAACTTTTAGATGAATAGTTCCCAGAACTAATGCTTGTCGATTGGTCAATTCATTGTTCTTCTAGGGTATTTACTCTTTAATACCACAAATTCTTGTATGTAGACCATTTTCGGAACCATCGCTGAATAAATCTTCCGATGTCTTTATTTCATTTCCACGCTTCCACAATATCATGAAATGCTGACGTACTTGATTAATTTGTTCATAACCCATTGTAATTGTACAATACGTAAACTCATCAGAGTTTCCAGACTTATCCAAATCACTTATTAAATCCTCAGTCATTGAGGTTACCTAGTTCATTTAGCAGTCATGTCCATTCCAGTTACTTTAAGATTTTCCAGAGTAATTCAAACGTTCCTGAATTTCATATACACGTTGTACTTCCATTCCATTCAATTTGGTCTTCGTGGTTGATTTGTCGAACAAACATCCAATTCTTAGTACTGAATACGATCTAGAGCTGAGCTGAGCTAAATACTTCCAAAATTTATCATTGAGCCAAACTTGAGAAGACGAACACATGTTCCAGTAATATCTATGCCATTCAGGTATTTACATAGCTTTAGGGTTTATCTATTCACTTAAATTATTTTCCATTACCTTTAAAGGTAGTTCAATACCTATGCTTACTTGGATTCCTTAATTAATCCAAGACATTTACTTAATTTAGGCCATAAGGGTATTTTGGTAATTTTGATGTTCAGTTTTATTCTATTCATTTCAGAGCTCGAGGATATCCAATCATTCTTGAGTTTGTTGATATTCTTGGGTCATTTCCATTACAGGGGTATTTTGGTCATTTTATAGATTCAGCGTATTTCAATCCTTTCATTACGTCCGATCTTACTATTAAATTCAATCTTATCATTTACTCCAGTCCTTTCGAACAATTCTGACAGCAGAATACCCCCGATAAATTACTCTTCAAGTATTTACTCATTATTCGAATATTTTCGGGTCAAGTGTCTTCTCAGATTTTACAAACGGAATATCATGAATTTTTCTGTACAAAGACATGATCTTAACAATTAAATTCGTACTTAATCGAGTTAAGTATAAATCATCAAAGTACTTTCTCATTCAGGGTCAATTCAGACTATTTTATCTCTCAAGGGCATTTTCGTAATTTCTTAACTAGATAATTTCGATATTAGCTCTTAACGAAAATAATATACTTTAAAGATCCTATGGTTAATTGCTTTCTCCAACATTCTCTAATCTTGAAAAGATTCCTTAACAGACTTCTAGCATCTTGCTCAACTCCTCTTGGGTTAAAAACCGGTTATCCAAATATCCAAGTAAAACTAACATTTCTTATGCACCTCAATGTTTTTTTATCAGATCAATATGTCTGTAAAAACCTCTTATCCAACTTCCATATTCCAATCTTGTCTTTTTATAACACAAGGATTTTTCGTAATTTTACCCTACCGGAGTATTCTCATAATTTCTCATCCAAATACCTTTAACATTTAACATTTGATGAAATAAATTATAAGTTACAGATCCATGTTGATTTCTTTATCACTAAGTACATAACTTGTAATTTAATTCTAACAATCCCTTAATTTCTTATAAAAGTCATCTGAACCATAATCAATTACTGAACCTTTTTACCGTGTTCAGATCGAGTGTAGAACTTCATTAATTACACATATGAGACCAAACATTTCTATTCATGCATTTACCAATACCAACATGTTCTATAAAGCATAAAGAGGTAGTAAAGTATTACCTCGATTTCCATGCAATACTGATCGACCATAAAAATTCCATTCGAACGCCTTTGATCTTCAATTCAACTTCCAATAATTCCTCAGATACATATCAACATAAATTATATCAGAAACGGAGCTTATTTGCGATAAACGGATCGAATCGGGAGATAAATCAGTGAAAGACGACTTACCGGGTTTGAATTTGGCGAAACGGACTTCGGATTCGGATTCAAGACATCGAAAGCATAAAATATGACTTTTCGAAAATTTGGAATTTTTGGTCAAAATCAAAGTCAACGGGTTTGACAAAAAATTTCGAGTCCTTCGGGTTCGAATTTCAAAAAACAGACAGCGGAATCGGATTTGGAACGTCGAAAAATGTCAGGATAGGTATACTCGGTCGAAGTCAAATGTCGTTTAATGCCCGGTCAAAACCAGTCAAAGTTTTGGTCAACGGTGGTCAACGCCGGTCAACGATCAACGGGTCGGGTAAACGGGTCGGGTAAACGGATCGGGTTATGACCGGTCAAACTGGTCAACTATGCACCAAAACCGGTTGACCCGTTGACCGGCGTTGACCACTGTTGACCAAAACTTTGACTAGCTTTGACCGAGCATTAAACGACCTTTGACTTTGACCGAGTATACCTATCCTGACATTTTTCGACGTTTCAAATCCGATTTCGCTGTCTGTTTTTCGAAATTTGAACCCGAAGACCTCGAAATTTCCGGTCAAACCCGTTGACTTTGATTTTGACCGAAAATTCCAAATTTTCGAAAAGTCATATTTTATGCTTTCGACGTCCTGAATCCGAATCCGAAGTCCGTTTCTCCAAATTCGAACCCGGTAAGCCGTCTTTCACTGCTTTATCACCCGATTTGATCCGTTTATCGTAATTAAGTTCCGTTTCTGATATAATTTATGTTGATATGTATCTGAGGAATTATTGGAAGTTGAATTGAAGATCAAAGGCATTCGAATGGAATTTTTATGGTCGATCAGTATTGCACGGAAATCGAGGTAATACTTTACTACCTCTTTATATTTTATGGAACATGTTGATATTGGTAAATGCATAAATAAGATAATGTTGGTCACTTTTGTGGAGTTGAATAATTTATTCACTCGATATGAATGTGGTAGAAATTCTGTAACTGAATACGGATCGAATGACTAATATAAGAGATTAAAAGATTGTTAGAATTAAATTACAAGTTTGTGAATAGTGATAAAGAAATCAGACATGGATTTGTAAATTATATTTTATATCATTAAAGGTTAAATGTTAAAGGTACTTGGATGGAAAATTATGAGAATACTTCGATATGGTAAAAATACGAAATTACCCTTATATTGGAAAATGATAAGAATTATCCCTGGAAGTGGATTAATAAATCTGAAAAGACATATTGATACGATAAATATATTGATGTGCATAAGAAATGATAGTTATACTTAGAAATTATGGATAACCGGTTTTTAACCCCAAGAGGGTTTATGCAAGATACTAGAAGTGTTTTAAGGGAATTATTTCAAGATCAGAGAGTGTTCAAGAAAGCAATTAATCATAGGATCTCTAAATTATATTATTTTCGTTAAGAGCTAATATCGAACTTATCTGGTTAAGAAATTACGGAAATGCCCTTAAGAGGTAGAATAGTCTGAGATGACTCTGAATGAGAAAATACTTAGAGGATTCGTACTTAACTCGATTAAGTACGGATTTAATTGTTAAGATCCCGACTTAGTGCAGGAAAATTCCTGATATTCCGTTTGTAAAGTCTGAGAAGACACTTGACCTGAAAATATTCGAATAATGAGTAAATACTTGAAGAGTAATTTATCGGGGGTATTATGCTGTCAGAATTGTTCGAAATGACTGAAGTAAATGATAAGATTAAATTAAATGATAAGATTGAATTAAATAATAAGATCGGATGGAAGGAAAAGATTGAAATACCGTAGATCTGTAAAATGACCAAAATACCCCCTGTAATGGAAATGACCCAATAATATCACCAAGCTCAGAAATGATTGGATATCCTCGAGCTTTGAAATGAATGGAATAAAACTGAATACCAAAATTTAGAAAATAACCTTATGGTCTAAACTAAGTAAATGTTTTGGATTAATTAAGGAATCCAAGTAAGCATAGGTATTGGACTACCTTTAAAGGTAATGGAAAACAATTTAAGTGGGTAGATCAACCCTAAAGCTATGTCAATACCTGAATGATATAGATATTACTTGAATACGTGTTCGTCTTCTCAAGTTTGGCACGATGATAATTTTGGAAGTATTCAACTCAGCTCAATTCTAGATCGCATTCAGTACTAAGAATTGGACGTTTGTTCAATAAATCAACTACGAAGACCAAATTGAATGAATCAGAAGTACAATGTGTATCTGAAATAAGGAACATTTGAATTACTCTGGAAAATCCCGAAGTAACTGGAATGGACTTGAATGCTAAATGAACTAAGTAACCTCAATGACTGAGGATTAAGTAAGTGATTAGGATAAGTCTGGAAATTCGGATGGACTTACATGATGTATCATCTCTATGGATTATGAACCACAAACCAAATACGTCAGCATTTCATGGTATCGTGGAAGCGTGAAAAGGAAATAAAAACCATTAGAGTATTTGTTCGTCTCCTTAAGATATGTTTAGTGATGACTCAAAAGTTGATTTAGGGACAATAATTGTTGGTATTAAAGAGTGAATACCTGGTAGGAAAACGAATGGACCGGTCAACATGCATTAGTTTTGGGAGTTTTTAAACTTAATTTATTTTAATAATCTGATAAATCGACGCCGACAGTAAATGTCCAGAATCTTCATTTCTTCCCTATCAGCTCAAGTTATATTCTGAATAACTGATGATTTCGATAGTTATTAAACTATTCCTATAGTGATTTTAAATACCGACATTCTATCGGTAAACTGAAGATCCGTGTTTCTCTGCCTTATAAGATTATCCAGTCCCTCTAAATAATATTTGTAAACTCTGGTGTGTTCCATAATTATATAATTATTTTATCTGATTTCCGACTTGAATTCTATTCTGATACATGACCTGAATTCTGTTCTGATTTCTGATCTGGATTCTGTTCTGATATCTGTTCTGAATTCTGTTTTGATTTCTGATATCTCCGTTTAATGACGGAAAAATGTTTTAAATGGGGGTATTGTTGAAGGAAGAATTTTCGCAGGTTCCTCAGCTTTGTGCTCAGGGCCTTATATAATGTGTTGGGTTGGGTGTATGGTTCTGGGGAACCTACACATTATGATGTGTTGGGATAGGGGTATATATATATGTTTTAAAAAGATCTGAAAAGTTACATGGTTTTTGGGAACACACTAGATAACCTATTTTGATCTCCTGAACTCAGTCATCCGAAATATTTCTCTGAAATGAATGCTCATTGTCCGTTACCACCTGAAATATCAGTAGGATCTCTGCTCAGCATAAAAATCTGTAAATGTTCGGAAACAATAAGGAAATATATATTTATCTGTATCTGCACGTTCATCAGCATCATCTGGTAGTTCTGTATTACTGAGCTTTCCAAAGCTCACTCTATTACTCACATTTTCAGGTTAAAAGAATTGTACCAGTGCATCTATCGACTTCAGTAAGGGAGTTCTTCCGGCGTTGTTACAGAGTATGGTACATGTGATTAGGGGGCATGTAATTGTATTTTGATTTATATACGAATCTGGAAATCTGTTTTATTTTTAAATAGTGATAACTGATTTTATAAGTTACACGTTTCAATAAAAGTTTTAAATTTTCCGCTATTTTTACAGTGGGTCGCTCCGGTGGCCCAAATGTGACACCCCGTATCGGATCTGGTTACCCTTATCGGTCTGTGGGGGTTACAAATCTCTTCATAATAAAAGGGTTAATAAGAGAAAACAACACTCTAATATTGAAAATTGATGATTTTAAAGTTTAAATTTATATTAATATTGTTTAGTTTCAATTCAAATTGAAACATGAATTTGCCTAATCAGTTTAGCTTGATTAAAAAGCCGTAAGTATCATTTTGGATCGAAAAGTTAAGTTCAAGTATTAATTTAAACAAAGAAGTTAAATTCAAGTATCTAATTGGACAACAAAATGTTTAAATATCATATTAAACGTTGAACCCAATTTTATGTACCTGATTGAACTGAAAAAAAAGTATAGATATCAAATTTAACACTAAAGCCAAGTTTAGGTACTAAAATACATATTATTATTATTATAACAATACCAACAAGATAAAAGTAACAAGGATAATTTAATTGAACGTCACTAAACTATAGGGTAAGAACTAAAAACATTAGGATTAATTACACATTTAACACTTAAACTATCAATTTTAATATGTTTTAGTACCTAAACTTTCAATTTTTTTAAAATTATACTTAATATTTAGTTTTCATTTCATTTTAGTACCATGTCATTAAAAACTTAACACGTTTAGTACATAAACTATCAATTTTGGTCCGTTTTAGTACCTAACTTTTGTTTTTCAAAACTCAATGTTAAATTTTGAATGAATGTACTAAAATGAATCAAAAACTAAAGTTTTTAATAGTGGGATACTATATGAAACAAAAAATAAACTTTCGGTGTGTTTTAAAACATTGAAAGTTTAAGTATTAAAACATACTAAAATTGATAATTTAGATTCTAAACGCATAAATTATCCAAAAAAATAATATGAAAATGACTACATGACAATGAAACAACTTTATACAATTGGATATTTATTCTCATTATTTATATATTCTATCAATTTGATCATAATTTTAATTTAATTAGATAATAAAAATTAAAATACCAAATTAAACCTCGAAACTAAGTTTATGTATCTAATTGAACTAAAAAATAGATATCAAAATTAACATTTATGTTAAATTTCGGTACCAAAATATATATTTACCATATATAAAAATAATGATAATACCAACAACAATAATAAAATTAACTGATTCTTTTTCTATATGTAATGGGATAAGAGGAGGTAGGATAGTAGGTTGTCCCAATGTTAGGTTGAGAGCAACTTCCGTAGAATACCTCAACAATTATAAATTATCCACCGTAAGATTCGATCTGTACACACAATTCACCAACAACAAGAATAGATAAAATTCTTGTGCCCTACCAACTGAGCACAATTCACCAACAACAATAATGAAATGGGTTATTAATTCTTAGCAATTAGGCTTAATAGTGAAGAAGGTAAAGTTTTGGACACACACACACAGCGTCGCCAGAGTTACTCTGAGCCTCCGCGACACGCAAATCCAAGGTAACTCCTTTTTCCTTTAAATTTCCTTCGTTTTATTTTTGTTTGAGTTGGTTTTTCCCCGATTGTTTTGGTGTTCAAATTCGAATGAAGAAAGAAGAGTTGTAATGGAACGAGTTTTTTTTTTTTGAAATTCGAAGCTTAGATTGTGACGAAAAGCAATAGCATTGGTTTGATTATGGAAAAGAATGAAAACGGGAGGTTAAGAAAAGTTATTTATAAATTTATTGAATGAGAATGGTGGGTTTGTTTGGTTTGTGATTCGGTGTGAGATGTTGTTCGTATTTGATTGAAATAATTTTCTTCCTCTTGTTTGGAAGGATGGAAAACTGGGTTTTTGAAGGGAAAGGGAATTGATGGTCTGTTTTGCCTTTTTCCTTGGAGCTTATCACCGTTTTATCTTGCCTTCTTTAGTTAAATGTTGTTTAATGTCCGGTCAAAGCCAGTCAAAGTTTTTGGTCAATGGTTGTCAACGCCGGTCAACGGTCAACGGGTCAACGGACGGGTAAACGGGTCGGGTCGGGTTATGACCGGTCAAACCGGTCACTTTTGTCTTCCCCACGCGCAGTGGCGGCGCGTGGGGCACGTGAACAGTGCTAAAATTCCGGAAAATTTTCTAAAAATTATTTTGAGCGATTTCGAGATACTTACAAAGCTCGGTTCACAATTTTGAACGGCGGGGAGCTCGATTTCAACAAATCGGAAACTTTGATCGCTTCACCTCCTCACGCGCCACCGCCGACGGAGACCAGGGATGACACCGACGAACTCGGAACGATGCAACGAACACGATGGTGCGGGAGGTGTCGTAAACGGATGACCCGATCGTCGTGAATTGATGAAAAACCAACTAAAACGAGTTATTACCGACGATACTTCTGACTGAAATTAACGTCGAACGGCGATGATTCACTACGAAAGGTTTGAAGGATTTTGTTCCTTGGTTGACAACGAACACGGTGGTGGTTTCGGCTCGTCGATCGGAGGTCGGACGGCGAGTAAATCGGAGATCGAAGTAGAATGAACGGGGGAGAAAAACTGAAAAATAATCTGCATAACACACGAGGAAATGGGTTTATAATATCTCCAAAAGAAAAATGGTTAAACTATGAGTTTAGCCACTGAATTTCCTGCACTTTATAAAACGGTCTGCCAACTTTAGAACTTTACAATTTAATCCCCTGTTTCTTTCAAAATACCAAATTAAATCCACCACTTTATAATTTCTTAATTTTAGCCCCTAAATTGGGGTGTTACAGTGCCTCCCAACACGATAAAGAAAAAACGACGATGCAGAAAAAGGAAAACGACGCCGAAAAACCGGATGAGCACCTCATCGGCCAGGAGCATATTCTTTACCAGTTGAAGCTTTGAAGACTATGGTATTAACGACAGAGAAACGAAAACCCTTATTTCATCTTCGAGGAGCTTCTCCACTGATTCCCCCTCAGATATGTTCAACACCAACTTAAAAATTATACTGGAAACAAAGCCTACGAGGCAAAGCAAGAAGAAACCAAAGAAAATTAAGCAGACAAGAAGATATGCTATAAGATTTTCGCCATTGGAGAGCGAATCGCCAGCGAGGTTGTCGAGCTTCTTGCAACATATGATATCGTGCATAGTGGACAACAAAGTGAGAGAGAGTTTTGTGGTGGTGAAGAAATGAGAATTTTGTGGTGGTGAATCTCCAACTTTTCTCAGGTAATACAGATGCTATGTGGACTAAATAACTTTAAAAAAGCCGTCCATGTCATCACCATCACGACCCGTCCATGCCATGTCATTGTGCCGTTAACGGATTAACGACGGAGTGACAAAATTGAAGTGAAACATAAACGTCAGTGCTAAAATTGGCAAAATTAAAACGTCAGTGACATTTTCGATCCCGAGCATAAAGATGAGTGGTATTTGACATAGATTACCCTTATTATTATTATTATTATTATTATTATTATTATTATTATTATTATTTTATATCTCGTTATAAACTTTTGGGATAGAAAGTGCGAGTCCAGGGATGGATCGAGGAAGTGTCCGTATTCGATATCCGAAATCGATTTATTTAATCTAGAAGTTGATATAGATCCGAGTAAGATGACTTAAATAGGTCCGGAATTCGAAATAAACAGAATCGGACTGAAATCGACTCGAATTTTAGTTGGATCAAAAATAACCGGAACCGAAAGTAACTCGAATCAAAAGCAACCTGAACTGAAAACAACTCGAATTGAAAGTAACACAAACTGAAAACAACTCGAATTGAAAGTAACACAAACTGAAAAAACCCGAATCGAAGCAACCCGAATTTAGTTTACCTATATTTGATCCGAACCGAACTTTAACTAGATTTTAACCCAATAATTGAGTCTAAATGAAATGGATAAATTCTTTATTTTATATTATTATTATTATCTATTTTGAGCATTGAGAAATAGTAAAATGATGTATGTTTTATTCTCATTTTATATTATATTTACTAGTTAACAACCACTTCTATAAATAGTTTAATGGTTCAACTGATCTTTCCTCAATATATATATATATATATATATATATATATATATATATATATATATATGATGAAATAACTTCTAGTTCTAAATTTGGATTCTGACAATATATATATTCACATAATTTTTTTATTTTAAAGATTTGTTGATTCCATTGATTAAAATTAAAACTTCTAGCTCTGAATTTGAAATGTGATAATATATATTAATATAAAAATTTTGAATTATAAGTAATAAAAAGTAACATCGAGAGTTATGACGACAAAGAACGATATTGGTTGACCAAAAATTCTAAAGGTTGACTCGAATTGAGCCCAAAAATCTAATGATTGATTCGAACTGAAACAAACGGATCCGATTTTGACTCGACCCGAAGCCAAACAATCTGATATTAACCTGACCCAAAAACCAATCAATCCAATTTTGACCCAATCCGATACTCGACCTGAACTGAATTTTCATAGACCATACTAAACCCAACCGGACCGAATCTAAACCAAAATGTTGTGTCTATTTCTATTATTACACCAATCAAATCGAATTTAATTTTAAAACAATAATTTATACCAGACAAAATAATCTTATTTTTCATATATTAAAAAGTTGAATAGACTTCGTCTAATATTAGGTAGTTTATATACATATAAATAATGACTTGGTATTTGTACCTAACACGTAAGTCTACTTTCTTAATTATTTTTACATTTAAAACGTTTTTATAATTGAATGTTATGAAATTATTAATTAAGAAACACCAAAAATCAAACTCACACGCAATTCATTTTCATTATTATTATTATTATAGTTTTCCTAGAAATACCTTGAAAACTTGGTATAAAAACCCTAGCATGGAAATGGAAATACCCACAATCTTCTTCTTCTTCTTCTTCTCCCTCATCTCCGAGTTTTGTAAGCAAAATGGCTATGAAGCAGACATTAGCTTTTGCTGCAGTTGTGGTGGCGAGTTTGGTAGTGTCAGCTCAAGGCACTGATTTTGCGTTCTATAAACTGAGTCTGAGATGGCCCACTTCTCTTTGTATCGCTAAACCAGCGAGTTGTCTCAAACCAATACCCAAAATCTTCACCATCCATGGCTTATGGCCATCATTCGCAAATGGCAGTAATGTTCCTCCTTATAATGCAATAACTAATAAATGCAATGTCAATCCTGTACCTCAAACTGCTATTGTGGTACGTTATTTACTTTTTAACATAAAATTTTATGTTAGTTCCTGCACGTATTATTGTATTGTTCAGTGCTATGAAATGGGTGATTAGTTCATTTAATCTCATTGATTTAGTTTCAAGTGTTGTATTGATTTTTTTATTAAAAATGGGTAGGCTGCACTGTCACCCATTAGAACGAGACTGTTGGCAAAATGGCAAAACATTTATAATGAGACCGGTTTCACTAACGAGGGGGTGTGGGAAATTGAATGGTTACACCATGGAATGTGCTCAGATTATCCTCAAGATCCTTTGACTTATTTTACCAGTGGCTTAGATCTTGCCGAGAACAGCAAATACGACCCACTCACAGGTAATATACAGGACTTAAACTGAATCAGATACGAGTTGGAAGGGTTTAATTTTTCAAGTCGAGTTCGAGTGGGTCAAAAACTCAACCTGAACCGTGATCATCTCTACTCGTGATGACGATAATTAAGAATGGTCGGATTCGACTATTAGTTCTTATATTTCGTGTATTTTTACATTTTTTCCCTATGCTGAACTTGCAGTTTTGGGAGTTCCTGCATCAGACACTACTCCACATGTCATACAAGATTTATTAGACAATGTTCATAGGAGCTTGGGGTTCTATCCTCAAATCTCATGCAATAGGCCTATTAAAGGCAAAAAGCAACTGTACCTGAAGGAGATCTTTTTCTGCTTTAAAAGAGCCATGCCACCTATTGAGCTTCAAAATTGCCCCGTCCCTATGGATCACACGTGCAACTCGTTGCAACCTCCCCAACCCAGCACTGTTATATTTCCTCAACCGATTACTACCAATTCTTTGTCGAAGGAAACGCCGCCTCTCGGTCGCGATATCGAGGTTCCTCCGGCGACTTCTTGGCCTAGTGTAACTTGCGGGTTATTGGTTATAGGCTTCTTGGTATTATATATTCTCAAGCGTCGTAATCGTTTGCATGAACACGTTGAATGAAAGACTGTGTAAGCGTTCCCCTTACTAATTAATCCTCTCATTGTTTGGACTTGTGCCTAGTGCGAGAGTTAAAAATCAATATAATAATGAATAAAGGAGATTTTCTCTTACCAGATCTTACTATTTGTGTATCAATGTTGAATTCGTATTATAATAAATTTTATGTATATAATGAATTTGCATACTCTTATTTGTAAGGATATGTGACCTATGGATAATCTCGTGTTGTTTATTTTTATGGATAAAAGGAGTTTTGTTGCAACAAGTTTCCAATGTAGGAAAAGTGATTTTCAATCAATCTAATAATGTTTCAACATGAAGAATTTAAAAAATTAATTTCCTAATTAAGGATTTAAATTACAATTTGTATTTGTCTCTTTGGCCACATTCATTTATCGTTATTGCATACATAACAAATGTTGAAATCATTAAAAGTATCGTGGTTGTGACTTTTCAATAACATATACTATTGTGGACATAACGATTGTAGATATCGCAGTTTTAGACGATATTGTTATCACTGCATAACAATCATTATTGTGGTTACAAACCATTATTTAAGTAATTGTTCTTAATAACAAGTGTTTGGAAAAAATAAATTTTAAGGGCAACTCCATAATAACAAGTACTGAAAAATAGGTCACTAGTAAAAAATATTGAAAAAAGTAAATTTTAAGAGTATCCTCAAAATAACAAATATTGAAAAAAATTTGGACCAAATTATTAGAGTCACAATAACAAATAAATATTATGATACTCGGGAAATAACGAGGACACCTGCGTTACTTGTATATTATGATAATGTACAAGTCATTCCTCTAATTCAAGGGTGAAATGAGGGAAGATATGATAATGTCGACTAAAAAACTTCCTTTTTTTACCTAGATTCAGAACCGAAATTAGTAAAAAAAACAACAAGAAAATCTATTCGAAACTGAAAAAACAAAAAAAAATAATAACCTTTGAACTTTGATATTATTGATTCGAAAAAGTTACAGTGCTTTTTGCCAAAAAAAAAAAAGAGATTTTATGTTTCTCATGCATGGGTCTTTATACCCGTTTCCATAGAAATTACAAATGATTCTTATTTTGTTTTCTTCTTTGTTGTTTTCTGTAGCTGGTGGTGTGTTGCTTGACGTGCAGGGGTGACTTTGTTGGCATTGAGGCAGAAAGGGGTGGCCTTTTGTTGGGGATTGGGGCGGCTGCTACCCTAGAGTTTAGGTTTAGACCTGGATCGGGTCTAATTTGGGTTTTGGGTCGGGTATTCAGGTTTAATAATATATTAAAAAAATAAAAAGAACTTTTATGATTTTATCGGTTCAAAATCATATTAAGACTTGTATAATTTCATAAAATTATAAATTATAGATACATAACATGTATACATTAATTAGAAAATAAGCAATAAAAATTTTTGACTTGGTCATTGTATCTAACTCAAAATGTCTAGTTCTAGTTTTTTCAATTTATTATTTGTATACATGTGAAGATATTTTTAATATTTAGGGTAAACTATACATCTAGTAAGTAAACTATTAGTTTTAGTACTTAAATTATCATTTTTTTTAAATCACCTAACGTTTAGTTTTTATTTTATTTTAGTGCCCCACCATTAAAACTTTAACTCATTTTGTCCATAAACTATCAGTTTTGGTCCGTTTTAGTACCTAAACTTTCATTTTTTTTTCAAAACTTAACGTTAAGTTTTGAACGAGGTACTAAAATAAAATTAAAATTTTAACGGTGGGGTACTAAAAAGAATAAAAACTAAATTTAGGTATTGTTTTTAAAAAAATTAAAAAATATTAAATATTAAAATAGACTAAAACTAATAATTTATATACTAAACATGTAATTACTAATATTTATTAGAAAACTTGATGAACCGTTGACTAGAATAAAGTTTTACATACGACATTACGATAATATTTTTTTTATTTGTTCATACTTAGAGACGTCCTCATACTTTTATTATTTTTGGAGAAGAATTTTATTAAGAAAATATGAATCGGAGTTGATAAGATTTTAGCATTGATCTGACTTTTACATGTAATCGAGTTATCTTACAAAAGTATTTGAGAATTTCGTACCTACCAATGAGTTGTCATAAATTTTATAAATATATTTTCAGCTACTAACGTGGTATAACCTAAGTCAACCCCAAGTTAAATTAGAAAAACATTGACATTAGAAAATAAAGATCACGGACACGAATCAATTTATCTCGAACTAATTTATCTAAGTGGTTAAAAGAATTGTTGTTGTTCCTAAAGGTCACGGATTTGAGCACCAGCGACTGTAGTAAGGTGATTGAGCGTTTATTGTCAAATGGTTGAGAGTATTTAGAATAGATTTCACTTTGTAAATATCCTAGCTTAATAAAAAAAATCATAGAATTATATAGAAAAAATAAGATAAAATTTAGGGTTAATTATGCATTTAGTAACTAAACTATCAGTTTTGGTCTGTTTTAATACTTAAACTTTCATTTTTTTAAATCATACCTAATGTTTTTTTTTTTATTTTAGTACCCATTGTTAAAAACTTAACACGTTTAGTACCTAAACTATCAATTTTGGTCTATTTTATAACATAAACTTTCAAAAAAAATCAAAACTTCATGTTAAATTTTGAACAGAGGTATTAAAATGAAACAAAAAATTAATCTTTAGATATGGTTTTGAAAAAAAATGAAAATTTAAGTACTAAAACGGACCAAAATTGATAATTTAAGTACATAAAAAGTAATTTATTTTAAATTTTATAGTGTTCGATAAAATTACCTACAGATGAGTACGGTTTTACCTTATATATTTAAAAATAATTACAATAATACCCCTCTCTATATATATTTTTTCAATTAAGTCACTGTTTTTATTGAACAAAAATAATTTTTTTATTATTTCGGGCCAGTTTCCAAATCATATATTCGGGTCGGGTCGGGTGAAACTTTATTTTGATCGGTTCGGGTCTCGAATGGAGGTTCCCTTATTCTCGGGTTGGGTCGGGTGGACCAAAAACCCGACCCATGGCCATCCCTAATGGGGATGATTTTAACTTATGATGTTTATTAGCATGATTTTTATAATTTATTGAAATGAATAATCAATCAATAAAATTAAAATTTATTTTTTTAAATTTTTTTATAATATATTGCTACATGTAATTTCCTCCCAATTTTACATTCCAGCGAACCAAACAGAATATGGAATTGGATTCCAATTCAATTTCCTGTCAACCAAACAAAATATAGAATTGGATTCCAATTCCTGACAGATTCAAATTCCTTCACAGATTCCAATTCCCTCATAAACATTCCAGCGAACCAAACGCCACCTTATTACCTATACATCCTATCAAAATATGCTAATTTTAAATAAATTAACAAATTCAACCTTCTAAATTTACAAACTTTAGTAACTTGGTCCCAAAAATACTTGTAACATCAAAAACCCAAAGCCGATCGCATTGCTTTTATCATTATAAACAAATTGATTATGCTATAAATTTAGATTTCTAATATTCTTATTTTTAAATAAATATTAATGATAAATATATTATTATAATTTAATTTGAAAAAATGTCAAGTGATTTAGGCTAGATTTGTGGAGTTGAGTACTTTTTTAATGAAGCATATCATATTCGCCTTCAAAAAGTCAAAAGAGAAGGAACTAAAAACTTTAAAATCCAATTATTGTTAGTGATGAGGGTCGGTGTTGTGGTATTTTAGTTATATTTAAGGTTTGAATCGATATATCATCTAAATTTCAAGAGTCAAATTGATATTATATCTAAAGTTTAGGTATTGCATTATTATTTTATCTAAAATTTAAGATTAAATTAAAAATTAATCGATTTTTACTAATATATCATGTCATCAACTAATGATGTTTAATGTCATAATAGCCAAAACATTATAAATCAATAATAAATGACTAAAATGTTAACTTTTTAAATTCAGTGACTAATAATCAACACTTAGAAAAATAAAAATTTGTAATAGGAAATAATATAAATCTTTTTCTCACAGTCAAACTATACAAATTAAAAAGAGTAAACTAAACATTTAGTACCTAAACTATCAGTTTTAGTCTATTTTAGTACTTAAACTTTCAATTTTTCAAAATCATATCTAACGTTTAATTTTTGTTTTATTTTAGTATCCTGTTAAATATTTAAAGGTATATTTTGAAACAAATTGAAAGGTTAAGTACTAAAACGGATTAAAATTGATAGTTTAGGTATTAAATGCGTTAAATTTTTAACGGTAAATTACTAAAATAAAACACAAACTAAATTTTAGATATAATTATAAAAAAAATTACATACTGAAAAAAATTTAAAATTGATAATATAAGCATTAAACACATAATTTATCTAATTAAAAATGAATAAAATTCGATCCAAATATTATATTTATTTACATTATCTTAAAAATAAAAATAAAAATATATTTGGGAGTGTCATATCATTAGATTAGTCGTCATGTTGATGAGATAATATATATATATATATGGACTGACGTCTATACATTAATTAATTCAATTATTGCTCATAATTTATGAGTTTATGGAGGTCATTGCACATGATAGCTTGAAAGTAAACTACCATATATATATAGGGGTGGGCGCGGAATTTTACGGATTTTGATCTGATTCGATTTAATTGATGATCTGATTTGATTTAATTGAGTTGGATTTTCTATATAAAAAAAAAGTTAAATTCAGGTTAAGTTAATTCGGGTTTTTTTTCTAAAGAATATTTTTAGGTTAGATCGAGTTTAGGTTTACGGTAAAATTATTTGGTTTGATCCAAAAAAATAATAAAAATTTATCTTATATATATTTAAAGATAATTGTAATAATAATCTTATAAATAAATATAATATTTTTATTTCGAGTTGGATTGGATTCAGATCCAATGAATTCAATCTTAAACTCGGGTCAGATCAAGGTTCGAGTAGATAATATATATTTTCGAGTAGGATAAGATCAACAGTACGATCCATGCCCATCCCTATATATACATGCATTGCATGTTCAACAATGGAAGCCAAGCACAACAAATATTAACCAAGCTATTGGCTTTTGATATCCAAGATCGATGGCGAAGGTCACCAAGAGAGCTGTTCTTGTGGGCTGCGACTACGCTAATCATCCATTCCGTTTGCCTGGATGCATACGTGATGCGTTAGATATGAGAGACTTGATCGTCAAACATCTTGGCTTTGTTAACGTTAAGGTCCTGAGCGATGAAGCGCAGCCGCCGTCTGCGCTGGCTACAGCTGCGAACATCAAGCATCAACTTACTCAAATGGTGGAAAGCGCTAAAGCAGGAGACGTCCTCTTCTTCTACTTCAGTGGACATGGAACTGCGATTCCGGTCCTTAAAGATGGACTGCCTCGCCGGGAAGAGAAAGCAATCGTCTCTGCTGATATGCATGCTATCCCTGGTAGCTTTCTGTTCCCACTACGTATCTAGTCATAACTGTTGTTAATAAGAGTGAGTATTTGATCGACTCGACTAAATTTTTTTGAATATTTGTACAGGATTATTCTTCAGGCAATTGGTCAACCAACTACCGGAAGGCGCGACCTTCACGATTGTCTCGGATTCCGGCCACAGTGGTGGTCTCCTCAAAGGAGAGAAAGTACAAATCGGACCAAAACCAAAACCTTTAGAAGAAAAGCCTACACCACCAGGGACGTCCTTGATCAAAAAGACCATTGAGTTTCGCTTCGTCCGTGACATCGATGATATAGGATCCGGTTCGTACCCGGAGGCCGATGACGGGGGGATCTTGCTAAGCGGGTGTGCACCGGAAGAGACATCGTATCAAGTGGCCACGGATTTCGGCACATTTGCCTTCGGGGCATTTACCAAAGCAGTGCTGGTGAATGTATCCAACGACCCATGGATAAGCAACAAGGATGTTGTGAAAGAAGCTCAGAAGTATGTATTGCATGTTGGCATTTATTTCCAGCACCCGTGCCTTTACTGCAGTGATGCCAATGCAGATGCACCTTTCCTGGGTGGCGCTCCTAAGAATCCATGATCGGAGAAGGCCAGGGACGGACGTAGACTATACCCCAGCATCCCTCGGTCCATCCCGGAGAAGTTGCTACTCAGGCTGTCAACATGAATAATAATGTGCTATGTCCATCGTTGCACAGTTCTAGTACTATAATAAAGTTGGCGGCCACTTTATTAATGTTACCACTTGTTACCATGGTTTAATTATATATGTTGTGTAGTTGCTTTATTTCTCCTCATCTCTTTGCCCTTTTTTTTTCTTCTTTATAACTATTGCTAGTATAAAATAAATGGGTTTTTATTATCTCATCACTTCTCATTGTTTATAGGATAAATTATACATAGATTTAATACTTAAACCATCAGTTTTGATATATTTTAATATTTTAATATTTTAATTTTAAGTTTTTAGAAATCATGCTTAAAGTTTAATTTTCATTTTGATATATTTTAATATTTTAATATTTTAATTTTAAGTTTTTAGAAATCATGCTTAAAGTTTAATTTTCATTTTAGTTTCCGCTGTCAAAAAATGAAGAAACTAAAGCTTTTACCAGTGAGGTTCTAAAATGAAATCTAAACTGTAGATATAGTTTTGAAAAAATTGAAAACTTAAATACTAAAATGGACCAAAAATAATAGTTTAGGTACTAAAAACATAATTTACCCCGGCTTATATTCATCTATCTATGCCATCTTTTTAGGGTAAATTATGTATTTAGTGTCTAAACTATCAAATTTGGTTTGTTTTAGTATCTAAACTTTTAATTTTGTTCAAAACTTTGCATAAAGTTTATACTAAAATGGACCAAAATTGATAGTTTAGGAACTAAATGTGTTAAGTTTTTAACGGCATGGTACTAAAATGAAATGAAAACTAAACGTTAGGTATAGTTTTAAAAAAAATTGAAAGCTTAAGTACTAAAACAGACCAAAATTGATAGTTTATATATTAAACGCGTAGTTTATCCCATCTTTTTATCTCCTCAATTAGACTGATTTATGCTTATCAAAATCTCCGAAAATACTCTCCTCCATTTGACATCTCTTCCGCTTACTCAGTGATTGATATAGTAAGAATGTAACTCATGCATGATATAATCGTAGATACAAAATTATACATCGTCTAAAGAATGAACGATATTCTCTCAATGATATCGTATGATTAATGAAGATAAAACTGAATCATGGGTCGTTGATATAGGATAAATGATTTAATTAATATTTTATATAATAATCATCTTCATCGTATGAATTATAATGAAACATTGAGAGAGAAAAATGATCGAACTAATTGAACAGGTAAAATCTAAAGCTTATATAACAAATAAGAACTTATAGTATAACATCTTTTTCATTGAAGTGCCTAAAGTATTTTATGTCAAAATAGGTACATAAAATATTCAATTTTTTCATCTAAGTACCTAAAGTATTCTTTAATTAATACCACATGTCAACACTTTTAGAACTTAGTTGAACAAGTTTGAATAGTTTAGGTACCTGACATAAAATACTTTAGGTACTTATTTTGATTAAAAGAAATAACTTTAAGAATCTTAAAATGTACTATCTTATAAAATGTTACTTCATTTAATTTTTTTTTTATTTTTTATTACATGAACAAATTAAAATTATCAGTTATGTATACATAACTCGATCTTTATGTGGCATAATGTGATTGTGATGTAAATTACATATTGTAATATATGCAAGTAACATACTACAAAAAAAAAATAAACATTGGACCTACCAATTTTAAAACAGACCTCATTTTATGTACCTGAATTTATGTTTTCAGTCTAATCAGCCATGCCAACATTTACTTGATAATATATATACGCAAAAAGGACATAATGTGGAGTACCAAAAGATTTCATTCAAAGTCATGAGAGGGCCTAACAGCCAAAGCTAAAGATTCCGCTTAAAAACTAAACACTAACCATAGCTTGGCTAAGGGGTTAACAAAACTTCCAAGGCTTTTTACCAACCACCAGAACTATTGCTCTTGGGAGCAGATCCCCAGCCGGAACCCCCATTGTTAGAACCGCCGCCCCAGCCACTGCAGCCTCGGCCATTTCCACTCCCACTTTCAGTACCAGAAGCACCCCATCCACCATTGCCGCCTCCCTTGCCACTTCCACTATCAGTTCCAGAAGCACCCCATCCTCCACCACCCTTACCACTTCCACTTTCAGTTCCAGATGCACCCCATCCACCATTGCCGCCTCCCTTGCCACTTCCACTATCAGTTCCAGAAGCACCCCATCCTCCACCACCCTTACCACTTCCACTTTCAGTTCCAGATGCACCCCATCCACCACCACCGCCCCCCTTGCCACTTCCACTTCCAGAAGCACCCCATCCACCGCCGCCGCCGCCACCCCAACCACTATTGCCGCTCTTTCCATTTCCACTTTCAGTTCCAGAAGCACCCCATCCACCGCCACCCTTGCCACTTTCAATTTCAGTTCCAGAAGCACCCCATTCACCACTGCCACCACTTCCACCTTTAGTTCCAGAAGCACCCCATCCACCACTGCCACCACTTCCACCTTTAGTTCCAGAAGCACCCCATCCACCACTGCCACCACTTCCACCTTCAGTTCCAGAAGCACCCCATCCGCCGCCGCCGCCACCCTTGCCACTTCCACTTTGAGTTCCAGAAGCACCCCATCCACCGCTGCCGCCACCCCAACCACTGCCGCCACTTCCACCTTCAATTCCAGAAGCACCCCATACACCGCTGCTGCCACCCTTGCCACTTCCACTTTGAGTTCCAGAAGCACCCCATCCACCACCACCACCCTTGCCACTTCCACTTTCGGCTCCAGAAGCACCCCATCCACCACCGCCACTGCCACCACTTCCACTTTCAGTTCCAGAAGTACCCCATACACCGCTGCCGCCACCCTTGCCACTTCCATTTTTAGTTCCAGAGGCACCCCATCCACCACCACCTCCGCCACCCCAACCACTGCTGCCGCCATTACCACTGCCACTTTCAGTTCCAGAAGCACCCCAACCACCAGGGAAAGCTTCTCTACCAGGAGAGTTTTGGACTTTAGCACCAGGGAAACTGCCCCAACCATCATCATCCCCTTTCTTAGAGCTACCTGACTCCCATTTGGGAGTGTCACCATAAGAGGAATCTTGCCTCTCATTACGTCCTCGGCCACCCCTACCACGACCACGTCCACGTCCACGTTCACCATACGGTCGTGGAGCACCACTTGGATGCCGGTCTCGGCCACGGCCTACAAAACAAATAGACAAAAATTAGAAGAAAAAAAACTCTGAACGAACAAAAAAGCATAAAAATGAAGGGGAGCAACATTCTAGGTAGGTTAATTCAAAGTTTTCGTGTACAAGCAAAATTTTAGAATTATTCCTAATTTTCTCACTCAAAGAATGAACTTCATTTACGTACTACAAGGAAATGATAAAAATTTCAACAAAACTATACAATAGGTCAAAACTAAAAAGATGTATTCACTGAAACATATCAAATAATTCAAAATCAGGCCAGCTTTTCCATCGACAAACAAACTTCGGAAGTTCACATTCAGAAAGAACTAATAGAAGAACTAGTGAAGATTTAGAAAATGGCGGGATGTTGAACTCAATTTATCGACAAACTAGTATGCCAAGATGCATTTAATATATATTTTACACACATAATATCTGGTTATTTTAATGTTTACCTGGAGTGGAAGACTGATCACCGTCTCCCCAACCACCATCATTTGTCGGACCACCCCAATCACTAGATGCCCCAGAAGAGCCTCCGCCAGCAGGGCTCCGCATTGGTACCATCGCTGCAACTGATCTAATTGATGGAGCTGACTCATGCGGTGGATCATCAATATGCTTCTGGAAATATGCAACCAGACGGTCAACGTCCTCAAACATCCTTTTTCTGAACTTGAATCCCTTGGGATATAAGCCAATATACTCATGGTGTGGATTTGAACTCCGTATATAAGTAAGAATGAAAGTGCCAGGATGTTCATGAGAAATGCCAAAGCAATACACGATTCTCATAGGATGCTCTGATTTCTCAACCCTTAGAAGCTCGTCAATCTCAGCTTTAGTTCCCTTCCTGAACTTGCGATAACTCAGCATCGCCTTTAGATGAGACACAAGGGGATCAACATATCTATCCATTACCTGCAATTTAAATGCAATCAAAAGACATCTATTACATGCAATTTTATCCCTCACAATATATTATTTTATGCTAACTTCTATAAGATGAAAATTACAGCAATTTATTAAAAGAAGATTTTGAATGCTATAGTTTCTTTTGAATTTCTACTAAATTGGAAGGCTTTGATATTCAAAGATGACAAATAATTATTAATTTGTTCATTTTTATCAAGATGATCTATACAGGCAATATTCAAGCTTTGCAACTTACAAAGTTTTCTCAATATGTCAGTCAATTGAAAGAAATGAGGAACCGGGAGTTGTAAATTTTAAAACAAGGACTAATCGTATTACCAAAAATGACGGATACATGAATCTCATTAGTGATAGCTTTAAAGTAAGCATATCAATTTGTTTGACAAAAGGGGTAACCATGACTCTTACCCATGCAAGAAAAACAGTCTGTTAAAAGTTCAGAATCCTTCAGTTAAGTGCTCAAGGTTTTAGGCATTGACAAAAAAAATCAACATTCAATTTTTCCTCAACCATGGTCTAATCCTGAGACCCGTCCTCCAGTTTATCATCAATCATTGTTGCTACAAGTGCACAACATTCCTACCGCAACTTAGCTCTCCATTCAACACTATTCTTATATGGTTATTTCCACTCAATTTACATCCCTTACAAAGTTTGAGGCATTTATCGGGAAAACAACTTACCTCATCCAAATCCTCAAAAGTGTCTTCCCCGATTTTCAATATCTTCCCAATGCGGAGCAAGCTGGTGATGTCCTTGTGTTCTTTTCCACCTTCAACTATATCTTTGTGAGCATAAACTCCATCATAAACTTTTAGAGTTAAAGTAAGAAAAGAAGGCCCACGAGAACTGGGACGGAAGATGCTTTCTCCAGGATCCTTGTCAGATAAATACTGTCCAACACAACAAAAGAAAAGCCAGAATATAGTCAGCCGTTAGTTTAAAGTGACAACAAAATGAGGTTGCGGAAATTTGAGAACAAGGAAATACTAAAGTGTAATGGTATTGAAGCAAACAAAAGATCGGATGATTAACGCATCCAAAAGTCTGCCAATGCACAACAAAATCACAATTGATCAAGTCTTCTTTTGTCGAATTTGTATATTCTATGGGACTAATTTGTATTATTGGATGTTTTGGGTACCCTCAGGTTACGGCCACTAGTCATTCATATTTACCACTGCCTATTCATCAAACACTGGGTTCTAATCACCACTTTTTTTCCCTTTTTCCTTCCCTTTTCCTTTCCCTATATATCGTGCTACATCAATCTCATGTTATTTTCAGTTTCAGGAGCTTCAGCAGATGATTAATTGAGAACTGTTTCTGCTTCACTCTCAGGTTCATGATTTCATCAATTCCCCTTTTTTCACGTATGTATGATTGTTCTCTATTTTCTATTCTCTATTCTCTTTCCCTTCCCTGTGATACATCACATCGCTCTATGAAAGCCATACTTTTCACATCTGATGTTCATTTTTTTTATAAGAAGAGGAGGCCTCGATCTGATGTGCATATTAAGAAAGATAAAACAACCTTGAAAAATTCTAAGGGACAAGGATGGTACATTTAATAGATTTTTCTACTAAAAACAATGCAGTTATATTAAGAATGGCCATTAATGGTTGATCAACTTCTATTTGCACAAGTAAAATACATTCAGGTTGAAATAACATTATTACCAGATTAGAAGTTGGAACTAGGAAATTGAAAAGATCGAATATATATTCCTTCAAACTCATAAAACAAAATACATGACCGTTGAAGAAAGACAAGGCTGGACTTAATTAATTCGATCAAAGATAAATTTCAAAAGCTCATTACTTGCAACATACCTCCATAGCTTCATCAGCAGTAATATTTTGGAAGCGTGGATGGACAATCATCCTCGGCTTAAAATGTTTTTTGGCCATCTCCCTCTCTTTGAGAGCTTTCTCTTGGTCACTCTGTATGCTGCTTCGCTCCTCATGGTAGTAAGGGTCAAGATTCTGAAACTGCTGGTGTCGATTACTTCTCATCTCGCTATCTTTACAAACCAGGAACACCTGATACCTATTCTTTTGAATTGATTTGATCTTGCAGGTCAGAATGTCACCTTCATGAAGCCTATCAGACAACTCAGCAATATCTCCCCAATCATCTGCATAGTCTTCTTTCATAATCATCCCAGTTAATCCAGATTCAAGTGCACAGATAGCTCTTCCACCTTGAACTCTGCGAATTGTTGCTTGCAAAATTCGGCCTTCTGCCAGGGTATCCTCGGTTTCACCCGAAATCAAGTAGAACTCCTCATCTTGGCTTGGTTCCTTGTATGGCTTACGCCAATCCTGAAAACCATGAATTAATTCCCTTTTTATATCATAGAAGGTCTCCCTCAGATTGTCGCGCTTCTTGCTTTCTAGATACTTCTTCTTGCTTTCTAGATAGTTATCAATTCGGAGGCTTTTCAACAAACTAGGTCGGTCCCTAACATGTTCTATTGCCATCTCCAATGCATCATCATCTTCATTATCACCTTTAAAATCCTCATCATATACATCTTTGGCCAATTCCTGGGCAACAAGATAAGATTCTGGATGTATTCTAGTGTCATCCAGCAAATCAATGAACTGGCTGCCGTTGGCAGCAAGCCCACTCCGACGGACACGTAGAAAGGCTGCTGCATTGACAAACACCTTCTTACCAAGACCATGGACTTGCACGAAGTCTTTCCGACTGAAAATTGTTCCAACTCTTAACAATGACCTCTGCAGTGATGCTGCCTTTCTACTCCCAAGACCAGAAATGAATTGCAGAGGAGCAAACAACCATTCGTGGCTTGCAGCCAAATTAACATCGAGGCCAACCTGGTTTGTGACATCAACCAAAACCTGTTCGATCATAGAATACTTCTCATCTGATGTTAGAAAGTTCTCCAATGGATTAAGTTTCCAAGATAATATTTCCTTCTCGGGCCCACACAGAGTTGCTACCATTGCCAGGGGATTTTGAAGATAACGCCCAAGGGCAACAGCCCGCTTAACAATGCCTGACAACATTGATAATGAATGAAAAGAATCTTCATCAATAGACAAATATGGATAGAAACTTGCATAGCCAACTACAATTCAAAAAATACAGGCAGAATTTTTTGAAAATGAAAATTCACCTGTTGTGCCAGGTAACTGGTCTGCTGAAATCCGAGAATTTTCATAGAGACGAGGTAGAGACTCATCCCCATATACAATGCTTAGCTCATCCATTTCATGCCCAACATCTCTAGGATTTTCCTCCACCATTTTAAAAATAATCTGGTTGAGAAGAAATGAATTAGAAAAGCAGCAGAAAGATAAAGCTACAAGCCAACATTTTAGATAAAAAGAAAAGAATCCAACATCTCAACAATGATAAGCCTACCTCATAAATATCATCTTTCAACCGGGTACAAGACAAATTCACAGCTCCAAGAACAACAATATGTGGTTGATGATCGGTCATAAACTTCAAAACACGCTGCTGATCATTTTTCTTGCATTGCTGGTCATTAACATTCTGAGATCGAAATGTAAGAGAACCAGTGTAAAGAACATCAAGCACCTCTCCAGATGAATCTAGCATCACAAAAGTAGTTGCAGGCTTCCCAGGGCCCCAACAGCATGCCATGACACGTGGTGCAGCTTCCTCATCAGAATTACTATCATTTTCCTTCCTTTGATAAGGCCCCACGGAAACTTTATTCCACAAACCCTTGCCATATTCCAAACGTAACCAGCTCTTAGCTCTACTAGCCAACAACGATCTTGCTTCTTTCTCCATTGAAGGCAAAAGGAAACTGAAAAGAGCATCATTCAATATCTGCTTTCTCTGCTCATTCCATTGTTGGGCAGATCTACTAACACCATTACTGAGATATCTCTCGTTACATTCTTTAATCAAGTCATCCAAAAAATTTTCAAGTAGATTAAAAGTTACTTGAAGAAGCTTCTCCTCTTCAGCCTTCTGGATAAGGAGCCATTGTGCATCCTCAAATTTACTCAATGGTTTCTCCCGCAACCACTTCACACCGGCAAACGGATGGAATGAGTCTATGGCTATTTTTCCATCAGAAGTTGGACAGGTTGATACTACAGCATTTTTCATATAGATTTTACGAACATATTTCTTGACAGATGGCTCACAACTTATCTCAAGCGCCGCCTAGGAGAAAAAAAACATAAATAAGCCTGGTAAAACATGGTCATTATGGTCAACAATAGTACCTATGTACTCATAAGAACAATGTATACCATATGTCTGGATCCTTTGAGGACAGATTGTGGAGTCTCAAACATTGCACATGTAAAATTTGAAGCCATCTCTTCAGGTGTCTCCTTAGGATCTTCCAACTCATCCTTAGGCTACATCAAAGGACAAAAGAGCATTAGATCTCCATAGAATAAAACACAGACAACCAAAGCATACTTACCAACTTTTCCAGAGATAATTGAGATCCAAGTTGTTGAGCACTGTATCCAAAATTGCTTGCAACCTCCCACAAACCCGCCTTATAGCAACTACTATATTGTGATCTCCTCTTGGGCCTCTTATATGGACCTTCATCCACACCAACCTCCCCTGGTGGGAAATGCAAGTTGAACTTGGCATCAACATCATCAACTTCCCTTTCGGATTCAGCATCCTCGAGATCCTTAAGAATTGACTCAAAAAGCTGTTGATTCAAGTTAAGTTTTGTCTCATCATATATCCGACGAGATTCTTCTTCAAACCGCTTATTATAATGTGACCGAAGGCCACTCTTCCTCTTTTGAAGAAGCAACCATTTTCGGTCCAGGTCCCGAATTGCCCAAAGTACCTAAATAGAAGCATGGTAACCATTGTAAAAAGAATAAACTTCTGAACTTGATTAGGTACACGACAAACAAATTTAACAATTCCAAGACAAGTCCAGTTACCCTGTGCCACTTTATGGTAGGTGTTTTATCAGAGTTATCTTGATCAACATCATCGACCTCATGCGGCTCAGGATCTTGTAGCAGACTTAGGCATAGCTCCTTGCGATACATCGCAATAAAGGGAATCTGAAAGTAAGGATGTAAGAATACAAAGAGAAAACAAACATGCCCAGCGGTAGTCATTTAGCAGTCAAATCAGTAAGTACTAACGTCTAACTTCTGCACATGTGTAAGGTCCAAAAACCTCATGATGTCATCCTTGTTTATAGAAATATCCGTCCTTTCTTGACCAAATAAAGGTACTGCACCACTTGTAAGCTGTTTATGCACCCAGGTACCCTCTTCTATTATGCTCTCTTCATCTGTTGGAGGACTGCCAGTGCTTTCCTCAGAAATCTACAAAAAGAAATGTAAAGCCAATCTTGACTTAAGAGATCAAGAAAATAAATAAATATTCAGAACTTTATATGTCAGCAAACCAGCATTCTTTCTGGAATATCAATCATCCGAATTTCATCATCCTTTTCTGTCATATACTTTTCAGAAAGAACAGTCGGTTCAAATTGATCTTCAAGTCTCCTTTCTTTCTGATCACTATAATCTAATCCCTGTTTGCGTAGCAGGAGTAGTTCATCAACATCACCAAATATATCCTGAGCTTCCTTTAAAGCAGATGATGAAACATCAAATGCATGCCTCGATTTCTTACTCATCTTCTTCCGTCTACAAAACAAGTCATGTCAATAAGAGAACTACAAAATTAAAGTATAAAGTGTTGGGCATATTCATGCAGTGCACAGGTTGTACCTAACAGAAGCTCCAGGCACATCATCTTCTTCTACAATAAAGTCAGCCATTTCATCTTCTTCACCCATATCTCCATCCTCTTCCTCATCTATTTGCCCTTCATCTTCAGGTATATCTTCAAGAGGTTGTCGTAAGACATTATGTGTACCAAACAGTTATTAAAAAAAAAGAATTCAAATGATAGTGAACATGAATAATATGCTCAATATACAAACCATCATCGTCACCAAATAAGGTACGCTTAAGCTTTTCCTCGGCAGTTCTTCCACCCTTCATGTTCCCATCAAACTCATCATCAGAGAGCCCAAATCGTTCATCTAAATCCCTTTGAGCCTTCTTTAACCGCTTAAATTTCTTGCTACCCTGGAAAATTTGTGAAGCAGAAACCTTAAAATTTAGGTAAAATGAGCCATGCAAGAAAAAAGAAAAAAAACCAACTATTTTCATCAGTTTGATATCTAATTGTATAAATCAATTTCAATTCAACAAAATAAAAAATAACTTAAATTATACAAAATTTCACTCATGAAAACAACCTTTGGTACATTAACATCATTCTCCCGGAGAAGCTCATAATCATCTTCATCAAGGTCCTCCGCTTCCCTGAAAATATTGATATAAACAACGTCAACATTAGCAAAACTACACGATCTGACTACTACCATCAATGAAGGGAAAATATTAACTTCTTCTTTCTTTTCTTCTTTTTTTTCCGCCTTTCCTCATCACTTTCTTCATCGACCTCTTCATCCTCCACATCATCAACTATGAATCCATCATTCTCATACTCATCTTGTCCCTCATCTGTTCAAACCAGAAAATAATAATTAAATAGCTACAACAAATTCATGAACATTAACACAAGTAACGGAAAAACACCCCAAATGAGAAAAAATAAGACCCACCAAGGGACTTAGCCCTACCCATCATGGCATTTAGACTTTATTATTTCATAATAAATTCATGAACCGCAGACCAAACTGGATAAAAACAATGGCATTTAGCCCTAAGTTCATTTCCATTGTTTCTCTGAAAAATCAAGGGAAACAAAATGAACCGGGAACTTAAAAAATGGAGTTCATTAATGGGTCTCAGAAACAAGTTTTACCGTCATCCTCTTCATCTTCTTCCTCAATGGGCTCTCCATCCTCGTCGACCTCCAACTCAACTGCATGAATAGAACAATCAAAACAAGAGAGAAAATGTAAGAAAATCGAATGAATCGTTAGCCAAAAAACCGAAGTTGGGGTTTGATTTCAGCTCAAAAAAATTTTAAAAGTGCAAAAAAAATGGCATTACCTTCATCATCGGAAGCAACATTTTTGCCCATATTTCAGAAAAAAGAGAAGCAATGCAAAGAACAACAGAGAAAACGACAGATAGGTGCTTCGATTTACGAAATCGTTCTGTTTTCTTCCGATATAAAACCCTAATCGCTAAACATATTGACGAGTAGAACAATTACAGGCATTTAAGCTTCCGTTTTGAATTTTGAAAATATAAAAGTAAATTAAGAAATAAATTAATTAATTGTTAAATAAAGTTTTTTATTTAAAATTTAAAAATGGAAAATATGTAACTTTTGAGTTGTTTTTTGGATAAAGTTATCTTTAATCCTTTACATTTGCTAGTTGTTCTAATTTGGTCTCTAATTTTTTGTTGGACCTTGAACTTGAATCATTTTAATTCGCACAAACCGAGCAACCTTAGTGGTAAAATAATTATTGTTATTCCTTGAGATATCGGGTTCAAGCACCGAGAATGACAGGAGTGTGAGCGTTCAATATCAAAGGTTGAGAGTTATCTTGTATTATACTTACCTCGTATTAATCGTATATATGTTCAATTCGGTTATAACAAACATGGATATGTTCAATTTTTTCCCAATACTTTTCATATATATTTGGAGGATCATATCTTTGTATCTATTTTTATGTATGTATCGTATACGATTTATTGAAATAAGTGTTTATTGAAAAAAATAAAGAATTAAAGTTATATAGAGTTATACTCGTTCTAAATCTATTGTAATATTATAGAGGTAACATACATATTTAGTACTTAAACTAACAGTTGGTATGTTTTAATATCTAAACTTTCAATTGTCTCAAAATCATACTTAGTACTTAATTTTTATTTCATTTTAGTACCTCGCCGTTAAAAACTTTGTATTTTTATAGGTAAATTACATCATTCATCACTCAACTATCTTCTCACTCCTATTTTGGTACTACAGTTTAAAATTTTACAATTTAACTACTCAACTTTTAAACTACTCCTATGTTAATCACTCTAATTTACTTTATTAATAATTTTTGTAACATGATATTTTTATTATTATTTTATTAATATATGATTAAAAATAAAAAAAAATTGAAAGTTAGAGTGATTAAATTAGGAGTAATTCGAAAGTTAACTAATTAAGTTAAAAAAATAAACTTTGGTGACCAAAATAGGAGTGAGAAGATAGTTGAGTGATGAATGATGCAATTTACCCATAAAAATATGTCATGTGCAAATCACCTGTTAAGTTTTTACTTTTTAGCGACGAGGTACTAAAATATAACAAAAATTAAATGTTAGGTATGAATTTGAGGGGAAAAATGAAAAGTTTAGGTACTAAAACGGGCTAAAAGTAATAGTTTAAGTACTAAAATATGTAATTTATCCTATTATATATATCGATAATGATTAAAATCCTCTTAAATGTATGAAATAACTCAAAATATCTATGTTGATACTTAAATACATATTTGAATCTACGATTCACATTGATGTTCAAATAACATATACATCAAAATTAATGTTTAAATAAGTAAAATAATTATTTCATTATTATGATAATTACAACGAAATGATTTATTTTAAGGCAAACAAAACGTTAATATCTTAAAAGTTAGATGATGAATTAGATAATAAGTTGATTTTTATGGAACAAGGGTAAATTATGCATTTAGTACTTAAACTATCAGTTTTGATATGTTTTAGTATCTAAACTTTCAATTTTTTTTTCAAAATCATATATAAAGTTTAGTTTTTATTTCATTTTAGTATCACAGTTTAAAATTTAACGTTATTTTTTAAAAAAAATCAAAGTTTAGGTACTAAATGGACCAAAATTGACAGTTTAGGTACTAAACACATTAAGTTTTTAATAAAGAGATACTAAAATGAAACAAAAACTAAACATTAGGTATAGTTTTGAAAATAAATATAAAAATTTAGGTACTAAAACATATAGAAATTGATAGTTTGGGTACTAAATGTGTAATTTACCCAAAGAACAAAATCAAATTCTTATATGAGATATTTCATTAGAAATCTCTTCATAATAAAAGGGTTAATAAGAGAAAACAACACTCTAATATTGAAAATTGATGATTTTAAAATTTAAATTTATATTAATATTGTTTAGTTTCAATTCAAATTGAAACATGAATTTGACTTATCAGTTTAACTTGATTAAAAAGTCGTATCATTTTGGATCGAAAAGTTAAGTTCAAGTATTAATTTAAACAAATAAGTTAAATTCAAGTATCTAATTTGACAACAAAATGTTTAAATATCATATTAAACGTTGAACCCAATTTTATGTACCTAATTGAACTGAAAAAAAAAGTATAGATATCAAATTTTATGTACACTAAAGCCAAGTTTAGGTACTAAAATACATATTATTATTATAACAATACCAACAAGATAAAAGTAACAAGGATAATTTAATTGAACGTCACTCAACTATAGGGTAAGAACTAAAAACATTAGGATTAATTACACATTTAACACTTAACCTATCAATTTTAATATGTTTTTAGTATCTAAACTTTCAATTTTTTCAAAATCATACCTAATGTTTAGTTTTCATTTCATTTTAGTACCATGTCATTAAAAACTTAACGCGTTTAGTACATAAACTATCAATTTTGGTCCGTTTTAGTACCTAACTTTTATTTTTTCAAAACTCAATGTTAAATTTTGAATGAATGTACTAAAATGAATCAAAAACTAAAGTTTTTAATAGTGGGATACTAAAATGAAACAAAAAATAAACTTTCGGTGTGTTTTAAAACATTGAAAGTTTAAATATTAAAACAGACTAAAATTGATAATTTATATTTTTAAATGCATAAATTATCCAAAAAAATTAACATGAAAATGACTAGATGACAATGAAACAACTTTATACAATTGGATATTTAATTCTCATTATTTATATATTCTATCAATTTAATCATAATTTTAATTTAATTAGATAATAAAAATTAAAATACCAAATTAAACCTCGAAACTAAGTTTATGTATCTAATTGAACTAAAAAATAGATATGAAAATTAACATTTATGTTAAATTTAGGTACCAAAATATATATTTACCATATATAAAAATAATGATAATACCGACACCAATAATAAAATGGGTCATTAATTCTTAGCAATTAAGCAATTAGGCTTAATAGTGAAGATTGAAGAAGGTAAAGTTTTGGACACACACACACACCGTCGCCAAAACTACTCTGAGCCTCCGCGCCACGCAAATCCAAGGTAACTCCTTTTTCCTTTAAATTTCCTTCGTTTTATTTTTGTTTGGGTTGGTTTTCCCCAGATTGTTTTGGTGTTCAAACTCGAATGAAGAAAGAAGAGTTGTAATGGAACATTTTTTTTTAAATTCGAAGCTTAGATTGTGACGAACAGAAATAGCATTGGTTTGATTATGGAAAAGAATGAAAACGGGAGGTTAAGAAAAGTTATTTAAAAATTTATTGAATGAGAATGGTGGTTTTGTTTGGTTTGTGATTTGGTGTGAGCTGTTGTTCGTATTTGATTGAAATAATTTTCTTTCTCTTGTTTGGAAGGATGGAAAACTGGGTTTTTTAAGGGAAAGGGAATTGATGGTCTGTTTTGCCTTTTTCCTTGGAGCTTATCACCGTTTTATCTTGGCTTCTTTAGTGAATTAGTTTTAAGATTCTGTTTCCAACTTTCCATTATATTATTGTTTGGGTTGCTTAGTTAATTGTTTGAATATAACCAGTAAATGATTAAAACAAAGAAATAATTATCCTTGTAATTTTTTATGTCGAACTTTTTTTCTTAATTGCAAATCTTTGATGACTAGTTGGATCCTTGTTCCTAAGTTATTAAAAGCCTTTTCTTTAACTTGTTTAGAAGAAAGGGAAAAAACGGGTCTTTGAGGGAAAAGGAGTGGTGGTCTGTTTCATTCACCCCCAATATGAGCATTTTCATTGTTTAAACCTAGCTTCTTTGGTAAATTAATTTTAAGATTCTGTTCTAATTCGTATCAGTATTCTCGCTAAGCTAATCGAACAAGTTGTTAGATGAAAATAACCAATCAATAATAAAATTAAAAAAAACTTGTGACCCGTTCAGTAAAAATTTACTGAGTTGCAAACCTTAGATGTCTTGTATCATTGTACATTATTGATTAAAAGCCTTTTAATTTATCTTATTTGGAAAAATTGAGGAAAAAAGTGTTTTGAAGGGAGAAGGAGCAATAGTCAGTTTCTTTCCATTTTCTCATAGCTATAGGCTTTGCGACTTATTCACTGCTTAAACGGCTTCTTTAGTAAATTAGATTTAAGATTCCGTTTGAATTCAATTCTTGTGGCTTGCTAAGTTAATTGATTGAATTGTTTGATTCATGTGCACTTATACAAGAATAATGAGTCTAGTGTTGGGTGATTACTTTCATTGTAGAAAGAATTGAGCTTTCAGGGTTTGTGCTTGAAGATATAAATAATAAGAAAATCTCGCATATATGGGTTTAAATTACTTCTATCCAGTTTATTTTATTTTAATCATACATTGCTAGCTCTAATGAAGCAGTTTGGTTTTTTTAGTCAACCATATTTTGCCTAGTCACCTGGCTTATATCATGAAATTATCTGCCGGCTGCATCATTTTAGTGTGTATATGTATATATATATATATATATATCTGTTGTGACCATTTAACGTGATCTGTACTGATTGCAACTTTTGCAGATTGTTTGGCAACTTGTTAAACTAGGTACTGACAAGACAAAAGCTATTCCCGGATATCGGTTCTCATTTTTCATCCTGTTTGGTTTAGTGTACCCTCCATAAATTTTTTATGGCGGTCCACACAAGCATTCAGCTTTTAACGTATTCTCAGGAGCTTGTGGACGGACAGCCACTCTATGTCTCTTCAAATTGTCTTCCTGTTAAGGCTTCAAAATATGAACCTGCTGGCGTTGCTTTTCATAATGCTGCTCTTAAACTCCTTGGTTGTGAAGAGGAGGATACTGAGGCAGTTGATGACCAGAAAGTTGGTAACGATAAGGAGAATGTATATATGCCATCATCTGATTCATATAGCAGATAAGGGAAAAAGAAGATGACTATGCGTTGCTTGGGTTGAGCCATTTGAGATATCTTGCCACTGAGGATCAGATAAGGAAAAGTTATCGTGAAGCTGTGTTGAGATGTCATTCTAACAAACTCGCAAATCTTCTTCTTGCTGACGAGACCGAGGCTGCAAAACAGGCGAAGAAGGATGATATAGAGAATCACTTCAAGTCCATCCAAGAACCATATGAGATTTTGATCGATCCTGTAAAGAGAAGAATCTATGACTCCACTGATGAGTTTGATGATGAAATTCCTACTGAATGTGCCCCACAAGACTTCTACAAGGTGTTTGGTCCAGCTTTCATGAGGAATGGCTGATGGTCGGTGACCCAACCGATCCCAACTATAGGAGATGACAGTACTCCACTAAAAGATGTCGACAATTCTATAATTTTTGGTATAGTTTTAAAAGCTGGAGAGAATTCCCACATGCAGATGAGTATGACCTTGAACAAGCTGAGTCTCGTGATCATAAAAGGTGGATGGAGAGGCAGAATGCAAAACTGTCTGAGAAGGATAGGAAGGAGGAATATGCTCGGATACGTGCACTTGTTGATAATGCCTATAAGAGAGACCCGAGAATACTTAGGAGAAAGGAAGAAGTGAAAGCTAAGAAACACAGGAAAAAAGAAGCTAAGGTTCGTGCAAAGCAGGAAGAAGCTGCTAGGGCTGCTGAAGAGGAGAGACACCGGAAAGAGGAGGAGGAGAAACGAGCTGCTGGAGCTGCTTTACAGCATAAGAGAACAAAGGAGAAAGAGAAGAAGCTTCTCCGCAAAGAGAGAACTCTCCTTCGAACACGTTCTGCACCTGCTTTATCACAACATTTGCTTGATCTTTCTGAGGATGATGTAGAAAGCCTATGTATGACCCTTGGCATTGAGCAGCTTAGAAGTTTATGTGATAAAATGGATATCAAAGAAGCACCTGAGCGGGCTAAAATAATTAGAGATGCTCGTGGATACAATAGCGAAGCTAATGAGAAGAAAATAGATGAAACGAACAAGTCACAGCTGAATGGTTCTGTGGAGTCCAATGGAAATATCCTATCAAGCAGCTTTGAGAAGGAGAAACCTTGGACAAAAGAAGAGATTGAGCTTTTGAGAAAAGTAACCCAGAAATATCCAAAAGAGACATCTCGGAGGTGGGAGGTTATTTCAGAGTTCATTGGTACAGGCCGATCTGTGGAAGAAATCCTGAAAGCTACCAAAACAGTCCTTCAGAAGCCTGATGCTACCAAAGAATTCGATTCTTTTCTCGAAAAGAGGAAACCAGCAGTTTCTATTGCATCTCCTCTTTCCACGAGGGAGGAAGTACAAGGGGTTTCTACACCTTCAAAGACTGAAAACACGGCTGTCAAGACAAGCAGCCCCGGGGACTCGAGTAAAACTGCAAGTAATCCTGTTGATGTGGCTTCCAGCAATGGTGTTTCATCAAGTTCAGAACAAGATGTATGGTCAGCTGTACAAGAAAGTGCACTGGTTCAGGCTCTGAAGACATTCCCAAAGGAAACCCCTCAGCGTTGGAAACAAGTGGCCACTGCAGTTCCGGGGAAGACTGTAAATCAATGCAAGAAAAAATTTGCATTACTGAAGGAGAACTTCAGAAGCAAGAAAACCACTGCTTAGTCACATTAACTCCGGCAGTGCCGAGAAGCAATAAAATCTTCACTTGGAACTTGTCTCAGCGTCTCGGAACTTGCTCGAGCTACAACATATTTGTAGTGAAACCCACCTTTTTTCCCTAGTTCCTACATTGCCATGGTTTTCTATGTAGAGCAGTATTTTGCATGGATTCCAATAACAATTGCTACTTTTGTTTTAAAGCTTTATGGTTTCAATCATTGTTTTGATCAAATTATTAAATTTATCTTAATCAGTGATGCAGTTTATACTATTAGATTATTATTCATATATGTTGTCTTTACATCTCATGAGCAATTGAGCATCATTATATTCACTGTATATAGAGGCATGTATGTGGGTATGCAATTATATTTACAGGAGAATCAGAAAGATGGCCAGACTCGGCCCGGTTGAAGAAGGGCTGGGATTAGAGATGGGTATGGGTTAAATTAGGTCGGGTCAGATTTGGTACCCGTCCGGTTTGATGAAGGGCTGGTATTAGAGACGGGCATGGGTGAAATTAGGTCGGGTCAGATTTGGTTTGATGAAGAGCTGAGATGGGCACAAGTGAGATTAGGTTGGGTCAGTTTTGGTTTGATGGAGGGCTGGGATGGGCACAAGTGAGATTAGGTCGAGTCGGATTTGGTTTGATGAAAGGTTGGGATGGGCACAGGTGAGATTAGGTCGGGTCAGATTTAAAGCATAGAATATTTCACTTAGTTTCTAATAAAACTAATGGGAAAAGAAAAAAAAAACATTTGTTAAAAATGTTGGCCAGTTGATACTTTCTTTAAAGTCATTTTTAATATAGAACTATTTAAAATATTACGATATCTATAAAGGTACCAAATGATTGTATGAATGAAGAGAGGAACTGAAACAATGGTGTTCCTCCAAAAGTATCCTATTACACAAATCATCATCAGCTAAGACACACTGCATCAAACTGCAAAATCATGGGACTAGAATTTTCCATGCTAAAATTGCACAATTATTCTAAAATTCTAACAACGCCTTGAATGCATTTGTATACCTAAGAGTTCCGTGTCGGCATACGCATTCAACAGTTCAACAGGAAAAGAAACATCAAACACAACAAACCGGACATTCATGGCTCATGCCATATTAGTCTCGCCCCAAATGAACTTCGTTGGATCAGGTCCACTTGTGACTTGACTACACACAAAAAAAAAATCATGCAATGAATGAAACAGAGCAGAAGCTTCAAAGTTCATACAATTGAGATATCAGATCTCATGGAAGTTCCGACATCTGACAGACCGCAGGCATATTATTCCATGTACAAGAATCAAGGCCCCATGCTTGACTTGAGATATATGTTCCAGCAGCCATATTCTTGTACTCACTACTCAAATCATCACCAAGAAGGGTTGCTATGGAATCAGTCATGATTGTTTGGTCCTTATCGTAAGCACAATCCTGCTCAAGCCCACTAGAAACAAGTAATGTGTCAGGGCAACAACTTTCCAACCGAATAGGAGACTTGTTTTTTATCTCTGGGGTCAAAACATGGTCAGCTGGTTCTGATTTCACATGCGACTCTGAAAAAAAAAATCCAAAATCAACTTACTAAACACTAGGAAAACAATAAAGAGAAGTTGAGCATCAAAATTTCTCGACAATATACTTGGAATATTAGTAAAAGTAGGGATGATAACGGATAGCTGAAAGTAGCCAACACTATCCGAATCCGGTTATTGCGGATTCCATATACTATATGCGAATATCCAAAATTTGAACCACTTCGGTTTTGGTTCAAGAAAATATTGAATATCTGAATCCACTTTACTTGATAGGAATATCATTTGATATCAAAGTATGATATCCATTTACATTTTTGTAAAAATATGGAATCATGTGTAGCAAGTCCAGATTAAAGAGGTGCTCACCAGTAAAGGTTTCAGCAGGTGGCTGTCCATCCAGCGAACTGCAGCTTGCACTGATACACTCATTTAAAAGAGAAGTTGCTGAATGACCCATTGGAGACAGAGGTTCACCACAGTTTTCCCATTCTGTCTCACAAATGTTGAAAGTGGAACTTTCAACAATATCACCGGGAGTTGCCGAGTTTGAACTCTTGTCAAATGCATGGTTCTTTGCACTGTTTAGAGTTTTTGACTCAAGAAGTAAAGCATCTAGCAGGCCACTATTACAGGGTGAAAGGCTATCTGGCTCTGCTCCGCTGGATGGTGGTGGTGACTGGATAAAAGCATCAACAGACTCAAGTAATGGTGGCGGGCTAGAAAATGTGCCCCAGTTACCTAATTCAGTTTCTGGATATTGGAGTGAAGGGAGCTCCAACTTCACAGCCTCGAAAGCAGGCTCTGAAGCAGAGAAATTGCCATTTGAAAGGGTATGGCTACCCGGGAATACACCAAATTGAAAGGAGTTTTTTGTTGCTGGATCTGGTTCAAGTGGAAAAGGCAGCCCAAAGGATCGAGCAGCCTTGTCCAAGATATCATCCTGAAACTGCTCAAACAAGGGGTATTCATATTTAACGGCAGCAGTGTAACCAGAGGAAAAGGTTGTAGCTTCTCGAAGACGCTTCTGGCGATGGATTGTTGGTGGCAAGAAACTACAATATTGAGAACCTAGACCTTTCATCAACATGCTGCTTGCAGATATATCAGGAAGTTCAGGAACATAAGGCAGGACATTTTGACTTGCCTTTAAACTGTCAAATATGACATCAGGTATCTCATAGCTGTTGTTCTGCAAGATATCATGAGGTCCTTTATCCCCTCCATTAAATGCACTGGTACTGTGACTCCCCTGCAATGCTTGCAAGCACACTTCAGGAGGGTAGAGAGGTAACCCAGCACGCTGACGTCTCTTAATCCGGGTATTCCAATAATTTTTTATCTCATTATCTGTACGACCCGGCAACTGCAAATGATAAAAGTGCAACGAAAAAATTTCAGACAACTAAAAGACAGATGACTATCAATTTGGTAACTGAAACTTTTTCAGGCTTTGCGCAAGTGTTTAGCATTTCCAAGGTGGAATAGTTGCCACAGAATTCTGGAAAACATAAATTGCTATTGTTCTACTTCTAAGACAAAAAAATCATAATGCTAATGATGAGGTTTATCCATTTTAAGGCATGACTAATTTTTTCCCTTTAGTTCTCTAACTAGTTTTCCTTTTGGCTTTTAAAAATTAATATGGGGTAAGAGAAAGGGATCAGGAAGAAGGGTACATCATGATGCTGAGCTGGATTTTTTTTAATCCTGGGTTTCAATCAGACCAGCAATAAGATTGCTCATATGTGTGAAAGGACATAAAAATCACTGTCTCGAGTTATATCTCCCAAAAACTGAGGATACCAGAATCAAAGCAGTCCAGCCTTTAACAATGAGCACTAAGTTAATCTTAGAACTCCAGTCAGCTCACTGGTTATGAGTGGATACATGCTAAAATAAGAAGTCAAATAGAATAAATAGAAAGAAAAAACCAAGTGTAAGTATCAAGATCTTGAAAATACTTCATGTAACTTGCTCCTAATTAATAATCGAATGAAAGTGTTCAAAGTCTTTGTCTTCTTAATGTAGTAGTCTAACACTTTTTTATGTTCAATAAATTTCTGTATTCAATCAATCATGAAAACAAATTGGATTCACAGTAATTGAACACTTACATGTACAGCCATCCGAGCCCATTTATTTCCCATCTTTGCATGGAGTTCAATGATCAGCTGCTCTTCTTCTTGAGTAAATGCCCCTTTCTTCAGGTTTGGCCTCAAGTGATTTGCCCAACGTAAGCGGCAACTTTTTCCACAACGAAATAGTCCAGAGTGCTTCTGAACAGCATTCCAGTTGCCTTCCCCATGCTTTTTCACATACTCAATCAAAATTGCATCTTCAGCAGTCGTCCATGGTCCTTTCTTCAGAACAACTCCGCCACCTGAGCCTCCTCCTCCAAAGTTGCCATCGTCAATCAACAACGATTCCGTCTTATCCTTATAGAGAATTCCATCTTCCCTCTCACTTTTTGTGTGTCTCATCTCTTAGTAACCACAGACAAAACCCCTTTCAACAAGTGAGAACCATCCAAAACCTGAAACAAGATAAAAGATGGAAGGCACACAAAATTAAAATACCGAGAACTAAAGGAAACACAGCACCATTTCCACTCGCTTTTTCATTATTACACTCAAAACTCCCATAGGTGCATTTATATCTTTCTTTTGTTTCCCCAATAAACGCACTTTATGCTTCACGACAAGCTACAAGTGGATCAACCAGCACACTCCTTTATTCAAATAATAAAAGAAGAAATGATGAAAGCATACATGAACATTTTAAATCTATGAAAAGAAACAAAAGTCATTGGGATAATGTATTCACATCTCTCAACTTATAACGAATTCGTAAACGACAGAAAAAGTCATCAACTCTACAGATAACATATTCAGAATTTAGACAGAAAAAGTCATGGAATACAGCAAGGTTTGAACAGTTGACATAGAACAAAATTATCCACAGGATATAAAATGCAGCAAACATAGATGTGTGTAAACCGTGTATCAAAGTTCAATTCTATTCCAGAAAAGGAAAAAAATCATTTCAACATTTGGAAGTTAAACTAAACCCTATAACCTAATTTAGAAAGAAAATAACCTATAATTTTTTTAAAAAAATAAATATAAAATTGAAAACACCTATTTCCAGAAATGATGCATAATTAAGCTCAGATAAAAAGTAAACTCCAAGATGCATTTATTTCACTATGATTCTGTCATAAATTTACTCCAATATTACAACATTAATAAACTACAAGCTGAAATAATTGCACCGCCAGCTATTTATTTACATTAGATTAACCAAAATCAACCAGTTTCAATAAAAAAAATCAGGAAAAAATGGAACTACACGAAAAATAACCCAATTACCTGCCTTACGAAGACGCAAAATTTTGGGAAGATTTTGCCAAAAAACAAAAATTCTTCGAATGAGCTCAGTTATGGTTCCTGATTGAACTGAGAGCTGAGGTCATAGCGAGAATTGAAAAATATGAAAATCAACCCAAAAAGTTAATTAAGATCACAATAAATTGCTTCATCTACAATCATTAATAACAAAAGAACAAACCCCGAAACACAAATAAACAAGCATTAAAATTCTAACCGTGATTTTGAGCTAGAAGAAAAAGGATCCGAGAATAGAAAGAACAAAACGTCGACTTCAGCAAACAAACGATTGCAAGAAAACAAATGAGAAATCTTTCTATTAAGTGCTTATCTTTTTCTCTAGAATTTTGTGGATTTGTATTTGGGGAGAGAGAAAATGGAATGATAATTCTTCTAAAAACAATTAACAATGAAGAATGGTGAAGGAAATGAGGAGAAAGGGAAAGCTAAAAGATCACAAGAGAGAAATGGATGAGCAAAAGAAGGGAATAAAGAAAATATTTTTGTATTAAGCTTAATTGATAGTTTGGCTAAATTATAGCTATAATGCTCTTTAAAAAATTAGTGAAATTTTGTTGATTCATTTTCATTCAAGAATTTAATGTATTTTTACAATATTTATAAATATATATTATTTTATAGTTATCTTATAATATTTAAAAAGATAAATTTAATACGAATCAAGTGATTTCGTTGGTAAATGTATTCTTATTCATTAAGGTCTCAGATTCGAGCATCAAGAATGTCAATGTTTGAGCGTTCAATATCAAATAATTAAGGGTTATTTTTAAACAAATATTATAGTGTACTTATCCCATATTATGAAAAAATATTTTTCTTTGTTCTTTATTAATGATTTTTTATTATTTTTTTAATTGTACTAGAAATTTGTCAAATTTTCTTAATATTTTTTTTTTATTTTATATTGAATTTAGGGATTAAATTAATAGAAAAAGAAAGGGAAATTAAATGAAAGAGGGAAAAAGGACCAAATTTATGATATTTAGAATTAAAATCAGGTACGGATTTACGATTTTATGTTAGGTTTGTAAAGTTATATTATAAATTTAGAAAAAGTGAAATTATATTATCATAAAATAGAAAAAAAAAATACTTAAATTATAGGGTAAAATACATCATTTTCACTAAAGTTTATTATTTCTCCTATTTCACTCATTGTATTTTTAATTTTTCAATTTATACATTGGACGTTCATACCCGTGACATTGTTGGTGCTCGAAATCGGGACCTCAATGAACAACAACAATTCTTTTATCAATGAGTTCACTTGTTCGTGCAAATATAATCTTTAAAATACATACACATTTAGTGAACGAAAAGAAGATCTATGTATGTATGTTAATGTTGTTATCCCACCTAAATTGTCTCGCCCCGAAATTTTTGAAATAATATTAATTTTTTAAATATCAATTTTGAGGGACTAGATAGCCATTTGGGGTCTGTATTGAAAGTTCTTTTTTGTTCAAGGACTTGATTAAAGGCTTACCCCTTTCTTCTTTGTGTTTCAAAAATAAAATAAGGCTAGGTCACTCTAAGACCTTACCATCTAGGCTAGGTCACAGTAGCAAACATGGTATTAAACTTATTTTTATTTCATCGACTCATGTTAGATTTTATAACCCTTATATGTCCCAAATTAATTTTCCCGATGAAAAACACCTTTAGCCCCAATTTGGAAAGTTCATCATTGACCCAGTCATTACCTTGCCGTTCACATCACCTCCGCTAGCGGTGGTGTACACAACCATCACGGTCAGTTCCCGTGACCCTTCACGAGTAAACCTTAATCATCGAATTATCGTCATCATTTGTCATTGTCGTAAATCTTAAGAGAGAGAGAAATTGTTCAAATGCTTTAACGTCAATCTTGACCACCGTTCGTCGTCGAGGGCCACTATCGGTTCCAGAAGGATCCCAACCCCCGTCCGATCCAAGCCCAGTATCCCTCTGGTCGTGAACCATGATCATCTGTCGTGGATAACAATTAGACATTTCGCCAAAAAACCCAATCGTTCCCTGCTATTTTTCACTGTTTTCGGTCACCTCAGACATATGTTCATCTTGTCGTCCCCGTCGAAGAATTCCTTGGGTTGTTCTGAGCAAAACCCAGTTAAGCTCATTCCCCTACCATTGCTCGTTCGCAGTCAACTCGAACTAGTCTGACATGTTGACCTGATTAGAGCTGACTTTAACTTTGACTAAAAAGTCAAAAAAAATAAAAATGGCTATTTTATGTTTTTCGACGTCCTGAGTCTAAATCCGAAGTCCGTTTCGCCTAATTCAAACTCGGTAAGCTATTTTCAGTGTTTTATCTTCCAATCCGATCTTATGTTTCTGACGTAATTCACTTTGTTTTGTATCCAATATATTATGGGACGTTGAATTTATGTTCGAAGGTGATCGAATGTACTTTAAATGGTTGATCGTTGTGGCACACAAATCAAGGTAATATATTATGTTGAGATTTGCAGAAGCTCGAATCGAAAACCGAAACAGTTTGCAAAGAGGGGTCAGAATGGTTTTTGTGTTTAGGGAATAAGGAGATTGAAAGATAGACAATTTGCACAGCGATTTATAGTGGTTCGACTTCTTAACCAAGTCTACATCCACTACCTTAGCTCCTCACCAAGGATTTTCCAAAAAAATCACTAATTTGTTCTTTATTTTTCAAGGACAAAGAGATAACATTTATAACTCCCTAGTTTTTCACGGGATAAACTAGAACATTTCCCTAACTTTTACATGGGCTTAACTATAACCTTTCCCCTTTACAATGAAAGGAAATGTAAACAAGAAAACCTCTCTAAGGTAGGTGTTTACAATAACTAAGCTCACAAGAACAATATTTACAAGAGAGAATGAAAATAAGAATTAAAAATTTATTCTCTTGTGTTTGGATAGATGTTTTATTCATTCTTCAAGTGTCCTCAGCTTGTATTTATAGCTTGAAATGAGTTTGAAGTCGTATCTAGCCGTTGGGGATGTTTTGAAGCCATTTGGTGATAATTTTTCTGCAAAAATAGGTTGTCCATAATAGGGGGTATCGATACTAGCTTTGTTAATTTCAAATTTAACTAGTCTTTGCTAGCCGTTGGAGCCAGGGGGTATTGATACCCATGCAGGGGTATCGGTACCCAGGGTATTGATACCCATAGGGATATCGACATCCTTTTTGCATTCGATGTTTGAGCCTTCATAGGGGTATTTATACCCAGTCATAGGGGTATTTATACCCAGTCATAGGGGTATCGGTACCCAAGGTATTGATACCCTTTATAGGGGTATCGGTACCCATTTGCATTTTTGCTTAAATCCGAATTTAATGGACTTTGAATTATTTTTGAAACCTTTTGAAATCTTGGAATAAATTCAATTTAAGTCGAAAAATATTTTGCCTTAAATTTGTTATATCGAAACATAGTTCAACATATTACTACTATTTGCATGCTTTACGAAACACGTTGATACTGGTTATTACATGAATGAATTTTATTGTTCAATATCGCATGGTTAATTACTGTTAAACTCAAACTGAATACACTAATCAGTTAAGGAACTGTATAATATTGGGATGACTTGTATAAGAAATTGGATGATCGATATGAAATAAATCCAAACACGTTAATTATTCAGTAAATCTATTAACCTTAGAATCCATAAATTCTGATTAATTTCATTAAAGGTTAAATGCTGGAAATACATGGTTAAAAAATTACCAAAATACCCTTATACTGCAAAAAAACTAGGAATGTCCCTAAATGTGGAAAATAAACTTGAAAAGAAATATTTTATCCTAATTAAACTATTGATGCATCTGTTCAATGCTTGATTTGTTAAGAAAAACTCCTGATATCCGATTTTAACCTCCAAAATGGTAAAAGATTTAGAATTTCAATTCTTTACCTGGAGACTAATTGCCCAGAAGTAATGCAAAGGAAAGAATTGAGTGAAATGACTAAAATACCCTTAAAGTGTAAAAGGGACTAAAGATGACAATGATAGTGAAAATGACTTAAGGGCTTATATTTGATCCTTTTGAACTTGGAATAACCGATTGAATTATCTGTATGCTTTAACCCCCTGCCCGAAAATCAGTTTCTACCTATGAGATTTGCAAAATACGTTGATCTTTTGTGTTTTTTTGGATCATTTTGAAGACTAGATTACTGAAAGCACAACATGTCATTGAAGTGTTTAAAATGAATGGATAATCCTCGAGTTTTGAAATGATCAATATGCCTTTGGACCTCGCATTATCTAGTATGAATAGATGGAAAAAGTTTGTCGAGGCAAGAAAAATGTGAAGTGAAGTAAGCATATAATTTTAATCATGACAAGAAAAATATACAGTAGTAAACAAACAAAAGTTAGTAAGGCTAAAGTTGTCAAAAATCTGGAAATAGACTGGCAACCTCACACAATTAGACTTCTAATGGAGCATTTGGGTTGGATTTGCTACGGCGAAAAATTGATCTATGTTTAGGATGATATAATATGTTAAGACTATGTTGCCCGACAAGATTTACTAAAGTATTCCAATAATGTTTCTAGCACGGAACCTGACAAACTATTGTTACAACAATACTACTCAGCATGAACTACATCCCTTGGTTTGTTAAACTGTTACTACGATAATGCCCCTCAGCGTAAACAATAGCGTTAGGCTGTCTACTTAAGTATTTATCCTGTTTAGTTGCATAAAATCATCTCTTTATTTCTAAGGCAGATTAGAACCTCACAATCCCTTATTAGTTCCCTTGCTCATATAGATCTAACCTAACTCTCTCGATATTAAGTATCAACTCCTAGAAAAATGGCTATCTTTCGAAAGCTTTTACAAAGACTAGGAATATTTTGTCAAGGCACCAGGCAATCTTTGAAAAGCTCTTACAACGTCAAGAAAAAAGATTAAAACAACGAACAAAACAACTCTTAATGAAAACATACTTAATCATTCATTAACCATAAAATAAAATATCATCTAAGCACTTCCAACACCAAATAAAGCAATTTATAGTGTGACTAACATCATCCCAAAATATTTATCAAGTACAATCCTTTAAAATATAAGAAATGAATAGCAAGATGAAGAAAAACTCCCAAAACAAATATATGTTGTGACATCAAACCACCACCATGACTGCTCTAGCGCGCTAGCCTCTCTCAAGGGCCTAGCCTTTGCTCTGGCGAAGCCTGACTATGGAGGGAACCAAGGATGAACAAGAGTGGAACGATGGAAAAGATGTGTTGCAGTTGCCTTTCTCCAAGCCTTTCTTTTAGGGTATATGTCTCTCAAATTTGTGTATCTTGTCCTATTTATAGTGGAAATTTTTTAGGGTTTAGTATCCTTGAAATTCCCTAAATTGTCCTTGAATTAATACCTAATTCGTGAAAACAAGACATCTAATAGTGGTCCCAAATAAGCAGTAGGGGCAGGGGTTCACATGACGTGCATTGGACAGTTGGCTACGTGACGTCAATAATTTTGTCTCATATTGCATCAGGCTTGCAAGATAAAAATTACCGCAATAAAAGTTGTACATCACGATCACTGTCTTTAGTCCCTTTAGCCCTGGCACATAATATGTCTCAACAAATAAATTCTTCCTCGGTCATTTCCTATAACCTGCATCATCACAACCAACACACAACCTTTTTTATCAGCAGTATCGGTTTAATCAAATAAACTTTGCCGATGCAAAACTCAGCCACCACATGCAGAAATGTCCTAAATGCAACCATATGCAACTAAAATCTTATGTCAATGGCTTTTAGATAATCAATAACTTGAGTAAAAAGACCTAAAATATAGTCTTTTTATGAAGTTATCATCATCCAAAATACACTCGAGCCCCTAAATAAATAAATTAACCTCGATAACTAAAATGACCTAAACACCCTTATGGAAGAGTAACAAGCCTAAAAACTTTTATGGAAGAGTAACAAATGAATGTAACCGGATTTACTATGGAACATCGATAAACCTAAGTGATATAACACCCTAAAGGTTATGAAACATGATCTAAACATGTCAGTTATTCTGGTTATGCTTGCATTACAAAAATAAATAATATCATCAGAATATATGATCATCTCTCAGGATCTTTTCAATGGAGATTTTGGTGGTGATCGTCCAACTAGTACAGTTAGTATTATAGAGTGAATATTCTTGAAAATATATTGGTCTGAACGATTGTCAAGTATCATAATGTTGAGGTCTATTCAGCTCTATTTGACTTAAAATAAAGATAATTTAACATACTGGAAATTTCTATTTTACCCTTGTTGGGTCAATTTTACTAAGAATTTCCTAAGTAGTAAAATGACTAAAATACCCCTAATTGCCTGAATAATATATCACTCTAGTTATAACTAAATCTTAAATTATTATAACGTAAGGTTCATGAATACCTTTCTGATATACCTGAAATCCTAAATGGTCATAGAGCATCAAACTCTGAATGTATGTTTAGATTCGTTAGCAATTAAACCATTTTAATAGAGACCTCGATCTTGAAATCCGATCAATTTTGTGTAAGTTCATATTTTCTATTCTTGATAATTTTCAAGCGTCTTTGAAAATATTTGGATCCTCTAGTGTGTTCCCTATCGACAAAAAAATGTTTTCTCTTATTTATATAAAGTGCAGTTTCTAATATATGGTTTCTGATTTCCGACACAAGGTACAATTAGCTCCTAATTTTTTATATTATTGTCTATTACCTTATATGTTTTATTGGGGTATTGTCTGGGTAGGTGTCTGAATACTTCGAGGTTCAGCTAATTGGTAGATCTTTTTTGTTCTGATCATTCATATTGGACTCATAAATCCCAGGGGTCTAGGGTAAGTCCTTATGGATGCTTATTCTAGGGTATTGTATTTGGTGTACGGTTGGAGGGAAACTCTGTATTTTAAATAAAAACCCAAGTTCTGATTTCTATTTTATGATATTACTAGTTTTATCTGAAATTGTTTTATTGGGGTATTGGTTGGATATGATTCTAGAGTCTCTGAGGTTCAGCTAGCTGGTAAATCCTTTATGTTATGATCATTTATATTGGACTCCTAAATCCTAGAGGTCTAGGGTAAGACTTTATAGATAATGTCTTGGGGAATTTCACATAGAATATTCGGATGGAGGGTACTACAATGATTTTAAAAACATTTTTTACTGAAATAACACTACTGTTTTTAAACTATGATTACATTTTATTTTGGGTTTGAAAGAACACACTAAACATCTGTTTTAATCTCCTAAACCTGATATTTTGAACGTTTCCTCTGAGCTACAAGCTACTTGTCTATAATTTGAATAAATATTAGTGGAACCTCAACTTATCACGGGGACCTGAATATGCTTGAAACAATAAGGAAATTTTCTACTTTGTCATGTCTACTTTTCCTTTAGCATTCTTTTGGTAGTTATGTATTACTGAGTTTCCCAAAGTTCACTCTTTTACTTACCATTTCAGGTTAAAAGAATCGATCCAATGCAACTATCAACTTCGGTAATGGGAGTTCATTCAGCTTGGCTTGCATAGTATGGTACAAGTATAATTAGAGGGCATGCAGGTCACATTTGATTTTTATACTGAGTTTAGAACTTGTTTTATTTTAATTCTGTTTATAATATATGAATGGTTTTCTGAACTTATAATTTATTTATAATTTGTTTTATGACATGTTTTAACAAAAAATTTAATTTTTCCTGGATTTTTACTCTGGGTCGCTCTGATGGTCCTAATGTGATACCTCAGATCGGATCGGGTCACCTGTATCGGTCTAAGGATATTGCATAACTCGTACAAACACACATATTTAATTTTGTCAATTAATCTTTTTAACTAATAAAGTTAATGGTAAATTATATGTTTAATACCTAAACAATCAATTTTGATTCGTTTTAGCACTTTTAACTTTTATTTTTTTAAATCATGCCTAAAGTTTAGTTTTTGTTTCATTTTAGTACCCCGTTCAAAATTTAACATTGAGTTTTGAAAAAAATGAAAGTTTAGTTACTAAAACAGACCAAAACTGATAGTTTAGGTACTAAACACATTAAATTTTTAACGGCGAGTACTAAAATGAAAACTAAACGTTAGGTATAGTTTTGAAAAAATTAAAAGCTTAGGTTCTAAAACAGATAAAAACTTATAGTTTAGGTACTAAATACATAATTTACCCTAATGCTAATGATGTGAAAGGATCATAAATAAAATGGAACCGATAGTTTGAGGACTAATATCTAATATTTTAAAATTCTTGGATCAATTTAGAATGTAATCATAGCTTGAGGACTGATATAAAATATTTAAAGTTAAGGACTGGTTTAAAATAGAGATCATAGTTTGGAGACCTATTGTGCAATTAACTGTCATATTAATTGAACTTTCTTTTAGCTTCCATTGCACAAACGGAAATATCTGCAAGCTCTGCACTTTCATTTAGCAATTTGTTCTTCCTCGACGTAAGTTATCATTTTCTTCTCTCAATTTTAAAGAATCTCCTTTAATCCATGCTGTTTATGAATTATTTTTTTCTCACGATATTTCGGTGGCTTTTAGCAATTAGCGTTTGAATTTTAATGCAATATTGTAGGGAACCGTGGGAAAACTGCTGGAATTAGGTAATGCGCTAATTTTTTTGCGCGGGATTTCTATGGTGATTTAGAAGAGATTAATGGGTGAAATTTTGGATAATATTGCTTGCTTAGGGTTAGAATTCCTCTGTCTATGACTGATTGATTTATGAAACTTATTAGATGCATGTTAGCAAGTTTAGTTCTCCTTAATTTCGTTATGATTTCTCTTTAATTTCTTTTTTTTATTTGTTTCTCCTAATTCCATATCCTATGTTCTTTGTTGTTCTTTGATGGTTTCGTTTCCTCTCTTTTGAATTTTTGGTGTTTTGATCTCCTAGTAATTAGGTTTGGGAATATCCATTAAGTGGTCGTCACCGTCATCATCTCTTTCTCCTTTCATTTGAAATTAATAGCATCGAGTTAAAGCGCTCTGAATTTCAGAGTACATGGTGTTCGTAGTGTTCGTTTTTAATAACTTGAAAGATCTAGGGAAGATGAAAAACATGGTTATTTGAAGTAAAGTTTGTTAGGTATTCCAATGAAGATTTCATCTACATCAAAATTTCCGTGGGGACTTTATTATAATTATTACAATTATGTTAGCCAAGAACATGCTTATCTAAACAGAAATAACAAAGGCTTGATTTTACAATGGAACAATTGTTTGTATAGAATTTGAATAAGGTAAAATGTAATTTGGGGTGCTCAAAAGGGAGGAAAGTTTGCTTCCTAGATTTGTTTTCCTTGATAAATTTTTCTTTCGCTCAAAATTTTCATTGTAACAGCTTAAGAGAAATATGGGAGAAGGAGAAATGATAAATATGAGAGAAGGAGAAATCCTAGAACAAACAAGATCTTTGGCAGCTCCTTTTGTCTTCTTCATCGTCTTCGTATTTCAATTTGCCACCAAACGTCTCCAAGATTTGAAGAGGGTACCAAATTTTGCTTAATGTCATATGGTTGTTTAATTTGAATGTTCCAAATTATCCTGTTATTTTTCACAATGTTGATTAGATTTGTATTTTCATGGTTAGGGAGCATCCAAAACTGATAAGGAAATGCAGCTTCGTGGGGAGATTAAGCAGCTTCTGAAAGAGGCTGCCTCCTATTCACAGTAAGTAATTTAAATAGCGGTTAATTCCATTTAATCAACTCAGCAATCACGTTTACAGGATAAACAACATCTATTTTGCTTCATAGGCCATCTACATTTGCACAAGCAGCCAAGCTTAGGAGGATGGCTGCTGCCAAGGAGAAGGAACTTGCAAATTGTGAGGCCACTTTTGTTTTTATCCTGAAGTTAATCACTTAATACTTTTTCCATTACGTCAGTAATATGAATTTAATTTTTCAACAATCAAATATTGATATGGATATTTGATTCATGTTACTCGAGTGTAATATCAAACAAGTCTGCATCCAACATGGGTATGGTCACCTTTTTTTTAAAGTTTTTCCATGTATTTGGATAGCCATTGGAGTCGGTGTCCCCATATCTATGTATTGGGTACAAATGTTGAACATGGATACTTTTAGAAAAATGAAGAGTCCGAGCAAACATATGTTTAATAGTGTCTAATTTGATGCAACACCTGGCTTGTAAACAATTTTAAGGGGAATCTGCTATATAAGTACTGTTATATTTAAGAAGCAAGGAGAGTAAGGATTAATTTAATCCTGCGGGATGAATGGGATCAATTTCATTTTTGGTAAAGAGTATACTACTAATTTTAAGTAGAGAAAATTGTTGTCTTCAATTGTACTTTTATTAGATATTCTTTCTTGTTTTCATCTATATTTCTTTTCTATTTCAAGAAAGAAAGCTTCATCCACAAACAGTCACTATAATCTAGTTGTTTCCTTTTAACCCTTGAGTTGTTTATTCATATCACCTGTACTTACAGAAGCAACATTTGATTTTCAGATCAGGCACATCTTACCCAAGAGGTGAAACAGTCATATGATTTGTATTTGAAAGTTTTGTTCGTCGCAAAGGTCTATCTCTATGTAACAAATCTATCTAGTAGTTTGTATATTTTTGTTGGTTTGATTGGTACCCTAAGAGATTTATGGTCTGCTCGTGCAGGTCTTTATTCATATCGTGTTAGTCTTTTGGTTTTGGAGCTCTCCTGTTGCTTCTGTATCTCAGCATCTTTTGCAACCCTTTGGTAAATGCACGATAATGATTTTTGGCAAATATTGTATTAGGCTGTTAGATTTTTTGACTGTTAACTACAATTTGCTTAAACATGCTTGAGTCGGTACACGTGTTTCATAACGACAAGTCTGAAAATTAGATAAAAGCTCGTCTCTTGGATGACGAATGAATAAAAATACACTGGAGCAGAAATCGTTAGCATGAAGCAAATGGTGGGGAAATATTAATGAAACAAAATCTTGAAGAATCGGTTGTTTTCCTATTGAATTACAAACACCTTATTTTGCAGGGAGATTGTTGTCCTTGAAGATTTGGGGTTCTTCAAGCAACTATGTCCAGGTAAAAATTCTTTTCAATATTTAGCAACCCTAACCTATTCTATAATTTCAATTTCTTCCTTCTATGATAGCAATAGGATTCGAATTCCGTTCTGGCTTTCTGTTTGCTTATTCCATTTTTTTATAACAAGGCCTATCTAAAAACTAGAAATCCATATTGAGGTGTGTGATGCTATGAGCTCAAGTACTTTGCCTGGGTCGTACTTGCCCGAATTGAAACCGTGTTGCTATAGGGATGTCACCCTCCAAGAACCCCCAAGTATATGGAAAAAAGTTTAAAAAACTGAACATACACATGCCTATAACACTTGATCTGAGTTCAAGTTACCGGGAGTTGATTGGTTTTGTGATTAATCTCCTAAATTCCAGGTTGGAATCATACCCTGGTTGGTATTGTGTTCTAGGGTTTGCAAGTTTGCTTGTCGAATCGCCTGAGCAATGCAAGTCAAGCATGCTTTCGATCGATGCTTTCCATGTTCGGATTCATGGACATCTGCTTAATTTTGAGAAATTCATGTATTTTATTTATCGATAAAATAAAACTGAGCAATTTTGTTTTGTTTTTCTTTGTTCATCTCCTTTCTTCTACCATTTGTTTAATATTGTTTGCTTATTTTCTATCTTATAATATCAGTTGCATATAATTTTGATGTCTTTTCTTGAACCCAAGGTATGATACATTTGTTATATTTCTAAGCACGAAACTGGTACTTTTCTGCAATTATTTCTTGTTATTGTTTATATTTAATTAAAGGTCATCTTTTCTTTGATCCATCCTCCATTGCTTCAACGCCCACCCAAAACCTAGAGCAAACCGGCCGATGATCGGAAAATCTTAATTCCTTCCGTTCATACGAAAGCTGATACATTTCACTTCCACGCCACAGAATTCTATCACACCTGAAAACTCGAAATCGTTAGAATCTGCTATGAAGAAATCCAATCGAAATGGTTGATCAAGTCGGATTGAATTAGAGCCAAACGTGTATTTTCATTAATAATTACCCAAATGTAACATTTATTCAATATCAAAATTATTCTCAAACCGACAAGTTCAATCAGTTTGATCGATTAACTAGTTAATCGATCGTACTGGAAACCTAAAATCTAACCTGTTCAAACTCGGATCCGATTTTTTTGTAATCTGATAAATTGTGAATACATACCAAGCTGGAGTTCTCCTTTTGCTTTTGGTTTCAATTGTTTCTCCGGCATAAATGTCTGAGTTAAGAGAGTATTTGTAAGTTGGTGCAAAGTATATTTTTCCTTCTTTCCATCCATTGAATACTCGCCCTGCTTCCCTTACGATCTTCAGCTGTGTATCCAGATGCGCAAATATTTCTCGTATTAGCATACACATCAATGACCTAAATCAGTCCGAGGTTCGATGTCTATGTTAATGTACTCCGATGACAGTTCCAGGTACAGGTATTTGTCTGATATAATATCGGACATGAATATCGGATGCTGTACTCGTATTTGACATGTTTACAGACATAACCATGGGGGAATAAGGCCTAAGGCTCCTCCAAATACATGAAATATCGAACTTACTCGTGTCAAAAGCATACCCATACATGTACACCAACATCCGAATCCCAAGTAACCGGCAACATAAGAAGTGACTCTACTAATCCTGGATTCAATTAGAAACAGATGATAAAACCTGTTTTATTTAGACTCGGATTGAGCATTGGGTACGAATTTGTATCTAGTTATTTAGAGGATCGTATCCTTATAGTCATGTCTGAATGCTTCTGATACGATACTTCAGAGAAAATAAAGAATCCATATATCGAAAATTTCCACCATTTTCGGGTTTTATTTTCTATGGTATAAGGGATTACCTGATCATTGTTATACAGTGCATCCCAGGCTTTCTGTTTTAGTAGCTTTCCGGTATCAGAGTAGCTTAAAGATATCCTGTAGTTCAAATCCCCTAGCCATATGACCCGACTGCGGAATTTTACCGACAAAAAAATGTCAAATAATGCGAAATTTTCTGAAAACAAATTCGTTTAATACGAGAACGTATATGTCGAAAACTGCAACCAGATTGGAATTTCACAAAATCAAAAAACATTGGTACATAGTTTCATAGATGCTTACTCATGATCCAGAATTTTTTCTGGCACCCTACTGTTCGTTGTTTTGCAGATCCTCGGAAACTGCGTGTTCCGGAGTATCTCTATGACATCTGAATTTCTCCGGAGTTCATCACCTTCTTTCTCTCCAGACGCCAAATGACTGCACAAGAAACAAAAGCTTGTCTTGTGGAAAAGCATACTCACCGAAATACAACCCTGCATTGGAAAATGTTCATTTGATATATGTATACATCCGATGCAAGTAAACTATGCACCTCTCTAACTGTTTCGGTTCTCGACTTACTTTGTTTCCAAGGCATCCGAGGATTCCGCGACCTACGCAGGAAATCCGCATGTGGCTTACATATTGTACAAGCTCTTTCCTCATCCAAACCGTTAGAAAAATTCCAACCATTTGCTTGCTTGCTACAAGGCCATACTTCATGGAGTTCGCACCAGGAGTGGGCATTGGACCGACTGAAAAGTTGCTACAGCCGTCTTCATCATCTTCAGACGAATTATCATTTTCATTCGTTTGAGATTGTGGACACCGGAGGCAGTTGCAACTCTTCAGCCTTCGCTTATCCTCAGTCCTCAAAGCCTTGCTGGCCTTTCTAAGCGAAGTTTTCGGAAAAACCAGAGAACCCCTGGGAGAAGAGATGGATTTCGATCCTCTTAAAGGCACATGGTTCGCTTTGTTCAGTGACTGGTTTATTAAGGCGAGCCATTTCACTGCGGGCTCGTTATCCTCAATAACTAGCACATTTCCGGCATTCAACGGAACAATTTCCTGAAAACTAACAACCCGAAATAACTATTCAGAATAAAAGAATTTCATTTCCATGATAAAAGCATATCCCAACCAAAATAAAAATCTTGCAAGAAAAGGTTTCAAAACTGATATTTTTCTTGTCAACTCAACCGGCTTATACCACCTTTAGCACAAAGCTACGTTGCTCCGACTCTTATACACGAACCCAACACTCATGTCTAAACCCAAAAAAGACTATAGTACATATGTCTCAGACAGTCACCCGAATTCAAGTAATATTTTCACAAATTCAAGCACTAGAACTCCTTAGGTTATGAAAAAGAAAGTTATCTGAACTTTCCTGCAAATCTATCCCTTTTTTCTTTTGCAATCATATTTACCAAGAAGAAAATTTTAGTTCGAAAACCCGAAACTGAACAACAATCCAGGAATCGCAAGGCAAAATACAAGAAAGATTGAGAAAATTACCCTAACACATAAATGTCTTCTTCACGAACTTTAAGAATATCATCGAGGTTGAGTTTGCTATCCGGAGATTTGCCTCCTACGTTCCATGTTGCGACAAAGACACTAACAAACCAAACAGAACATCGAAAAAGGTTCGGTTAATCAACTAAGCAAGCCTGTTATCCCCAAAAGCTGGCTGGGAAAGAAAAATCTCATCTAATGGCTACCGGAATGACAGATTCTCATTAGCAGCTTTTGTGCTTTCGCCTCTCGAAAGCAAAGGTTGAAGTGGTAAATCATATTGTCCTTCTGCAAAAACAAACAAAAATCAACAAACAATTCGGGTAAGATTCAAAGATTAGGCACAAAAGTTTTCCACAATTCTTTACAATTTATAACATATAAAAGAACAAGAACTTTCTTTTTCGAAAAAACATTGTCGCCCTGAAATCAAGCACTCGATTTCCTACCGGCTTCGAATCAAGAACAGGACTATATAAGAGGCAAAGAACGAGGAAAAAAGAAGACATCAAGAAAAGTGGTGGTGAAAGCTTAAGCTACCATTCTTACTCTTTGGATTAAAGTTTCAGACGAGAATATATTCTCCACAAATTGCCTTTTTTTGTTCTTTCCTAGGGCAATTGTCTGAGTTTATCTATATATATAACGACACCACTGATACGAATGCATGCTTTTGTCATCACAGCAACTTGGATTAACCTTATCCTCTAATCCCAAAAAATAGAAAGATGGAAAAAGTTACAACTTTAGAATTCTGGGACTTAATCTAGTTAGTTCATGCAGTACACTTAGGAGGTCGGATACAATGGGTCTAGGATCCGGATCTCGTATTCATAACTATCCCCGGAATGCAGCCTCCTTTATACTGGAAATAAAATATTAAAACGGATTTCTCATTTTTACTTCCATAACCAAAAAGAAAACAGCAAGAGACAAAAACTAAAAGCTAAATGCTAAATGGAGCCTTGGTGGATAATGAACTGATAGTGAATCCGAGACCTAGTCTTGCTCGTTCATGTAACCATCTTTAAGGGATAATATTGGATTTCAAATCCCTATATCTACAACCCTTTTTCCGATTCCGAATTCCGATCTATATCCAAAAAAAAAGGTACAAATCTATCCACAAACACGTTTTGCATTTCACTTCCAAAAAGCAAAAGAGAAAAAGCAAGTCATACAAATAAAGCTAAATAGAGTTTTGGACATAGCTCGTCCGTTCATGCAGGAACTCTTAAAAGGTGACATCCAGTAAAAATGAGCCTTGACTCCCTACATCCAAAACCCTTTATACTAGTCTCAATCCGAATCTCTTTTGTACCAATAAATAAAATAGATAAATAAATCGATGCTAATTGTTTTTCCATTGAAAAAAAGAGAGAATAGTATCTTTGACTAAATAATAATGTATGTTACAAACATGGAATGGAATTTATCTTATGAAGAACAACATTTTTGGATCAAATAATTATATAATGGTATTACACATGAGATATGATATGAACATTTTCTTTTCTGTTTCTTTTTATTTTGGTGCCAAATTCTAAGCTATCTTCTAAGAGAAGAGAATTAAGATAATTGGTAAATTCCATGTATTTGATACAATAAGCACTAACCTGAGGAACCAAACCTAACTTCAATCTCTTTATTTCTTTGATTTCTTCCCTTCACACTCAATATTTTACCAATCAAAGACTGAAAAATAAAATAAAATATATATTAACAAAATAAATTGGAAACATTTAACAAAGAAAACAAGTAAAAGAGTGGGAATTTACTGAAGCTTGCTGGTTTGTTCTGTCTTGATTCATCAGAGTCATGCCAGAAAATCCAACCCCAATCATCAGGAAAAAGAAAGGAACTCAAGAATTACCTGTAATAAATCAATACAAAAATAAGAAAGAACATAAAATTATGATTAAAAACATGAATTTAACAGGAAAATTATTGGCAAAAATGGGTTTTTTCATTGATCAAATAAGAAAAATCCATACTTTATTTTTAGAAACCAATCACAGAAATGAAAGTTTAGAGCTTTGGATTTCAAGTTTATAAAAGGAAGGAAGAATTCAGCTGAAGCAAATCTGAACACAGACACAAACTCAAACAGGGAGACACACACATATTTATGATCAAATGTAAATAATTGTTTTCCTCCTCATATTTTCAATGTTTATTGATGAAAATGAGGACTTAGTCAAAAGAAGGTGTTGAAGGAGACAAAGAGGGTCAAAGACTCAAAGCCTCAAAAGAAAAGATGGAAGATGTAAGGAAAAAAAACAGGGAAAATGTAAGAATGTTGGATGAATGTTTTTTGTTTGGTTGAATTGAAAGTTGAAACCTATGGCCAATTGGGAAAAAAGTTCGTTTCTTTTTCAACAACAAATCAGAATGTGTTGGGTTACCAAAAAGATGTCTGCTTCATATTCATCGTTCAAACATGCACAAGATTAAGAACCCAAATTTGCTTTGTTTATTTGAATGTTAATAAAATATACACACAAGGGGTTTTCCACTTTTCTTTTTGTAGTTTGTTTGGTCGGATTTTCTCGAGAAAATTAATTGAAAAGAAATACCCAGGAAAGAAACTTTGTTGTTCAGAGATAAGATTAAGAACCCAAATTTGTTTTGTTTAATAGAGTATGAATAGACTATAAACATTGGGTTTTTCGTAGTTTGGTTCGTCGGATTTTGACAGATAATTTTCTCGAGAAAATTAAATTAAAAAAATAGAAAAAAATTCCCAAAAATCTACACGGTCAAAGGTGGGGGATCGAAGATTTAATGTCCCTTACATAAAGCTATTTTGTTTATTTATTTATTTTATTTGGTGGTAAAGTGTTCAAAAGATGCTTTTGTTTGATTGTTATGGTTTTTGCTTTCATTTGATCTTTTTTCTTGGAAAATAATGAAATCTGCCTTGTTTGTTGTGGTCCTTTGAGAGAGAGAAAAAAAGTGGTTTTATGCCTTTAGATTTGGTGTTCCTAAATAAGGAAAATATAAGGGTCGTCAATGTAATTTAAGGTTAAAAATATAATTTTAGAAAGATTATAAGATACATAACTTAAAATATTATATTATTTCTTAATATTTTTTATTCAACTTAAAATATTATATTCTTTATAATATTTTTGATTGTCAATCAAAAATGTTACATTCTTCATAACAAATTGTAACTTTTTAAATTATACCAAATCTATAATATTATGATTTTATTACATTTTTTATTACGTTTCGAAATTGTAGTTTTCAATCTTATATTAGATTGTCACACAACATAATCACTTTTTTAAATAGCAAGTTTTATTAAAAAAAATATTAGGGTGAATCTACACCGGTCCTCCCCGTCACCAAAATAAAATAATATGTTTCAACAAATCTAAAATAGTTGATAAATAGATTAAATATCAATTATTAAATTAAAATAATTTTTTAATTACAATTATAAAAAATTAAATAAACCAATCCATTTGTCTAAAAAATTGAGAATTATTTTCAAAATAAAATAATTGAATCATTCGATTTAACTTATTTATTTAAAAATTAATAAATTATTTAATTTAAATAATTTCTTTTGTTTTTCTCTCATTTTCAGTGTTTAACATTGATTAATTTGGACTGACCTGCATTTGTAGGTCTGATTTTGGTGGGTGAGTTTCTAAACGAAATTTTTTTATATATACAAAACTAACTCAAAACATATTTAAGTAATATCAAATTTATCCCCACTTAAATCAACCCTAATAGAGTTTAGCAAGTTAATATAAAACAAACAATCTAAGAAACATTGGTTTTGATTATAAAGAGATAGATCGATTCAATCAATTGAATTGATACAATTAGAAATCAAAATTATATGAGCTATAAATTATAATAAATGTAATCGGATCGATCCATTTAATTAATTAAAGTGACCGATAATCAGATAATCATAGGTACCATCATCATAATCCACCCAATAAACAATAATACAATGACCGCAAAATTTTTGCTACGGAGCGTTGAAAAAAATTATTGCCTCGTATAGCCTCATCGGAATTATTTTCGGAGATGAGCTGAATGCTACAGAACTGATCGGAGGATGTCAAAAACACTATACGTCTCTTGCCTTTTTATTTTGGAAGTCTTGGCGTCCAACTGGATGAGCAACGGTGAAGACGCATTGTGTTCCCGGCGTCTTCCCCGACACTGTAACGTTCACCCCATCTCAAATATGATACAAGACGAGAAATAGCAAAAATATGATGTAAATAATCGGATGAGTCGAATTTTTTATAAATACATAACGCCTTAAACACGAGTACGAAATAGACTCCGGAATTTCGGACTATCACCAAGGAAACGGAATTCTATTTTACTTTTCCTACCGAGAAACTAAAGTTCATCTAATGCTGGTTCATACAAATCAAATCAAATCATTGTTCTTAAGTCAAGTAGAACCTAACTGGAAAGTGGAAGCATAAAAATAGATTCACACTCATTTGCTACCCAGAAGAAATTCTAACAGGACAAGGAATTTGTATCTAGTTAGTAGAATGAACAAAGTACAATTTCATTCAATGAAGATCGAAAACCAACAATTACCGAGAAGAGTGCAGATCACGAATATGACATGGATCACGACTCCGTTTTCACCACTGAAACAAAATCTGGCTCGTGACCGTGCACCCTCAAACGGTAAATGCAGGTATGTGAAGAAGTCCCATGGTTGGAAGAGAAGTCCAGCCTCATTGTGTCAACAATACCGATACCTGCTGTATCCAATACATCAAAGGTCTGAGCATTACTCTTTTCGAGGTCATACATGAACTCTGCCAAAAGAAACCTCTTATTGGCATCAACAGAGGAATCTGGGTCACGGCCTTGCAGCCAGCCAGATACTCGGCAGTCCTTGGGTGCACTTGATCTGTCGTATGCCACACTCTGTACACGGTGCAGGAACAACAGAATAAGCAATTGTGACAAAGTCAATTGAGAATAAAAATCAGAAAGAGCCCTTTTAAATCAGCCCTTGATTTATTTTTGCTGGCCATAGTTCAAATGGAAGTTATACGGATTTTGCAACTTGCCAAGATCCATTCATAAATGATAATAAATCCTAGATGCTAGATGTTGTAGTATTCAGAAAACAAAAGCCAAAGAAGTAATTGATGGCATAAGTTGCTTCCTCGGGTGCGCCACCAGAATGAAGGCACGGCAAAGATCATGAGTTGGACCAATCAGAACAAAGAATTGGTGCATTTATATCATAAATGAAAAGAGAGAGGAGATTCATATAGTCATTCCCGTATGTCTACCTCCATTATTATTTTCATGCAACCGATCTCAAATAAAACCAAAAATTCTCCATAAGTGATTTACAGAATAAAGACTATGTTACCAACTTACTCAAACTCGTGCGAAACGTTGAATGAGGATGTGTCCAACATGAGCATGTTCAAGTTTTTGTCAGTTTTTCCACATAGTTAAAGGGTTTTTGGAAGGTAATAACTACACACCCATGTTTGAATGTGTCGGATATTGGTGTTGGACATGCGTACTTCATGTAAAATGAAAAATTAGAGCAACATTTCTACTGCTGCTGTAACTGTGAACAATTGGATGTTCAAGTTACTGATATAATTTTTCAGTGCACCAATTTGATTGCTTTCCAAAGAGTTTTGGGTACGAAACTATTGTTCTCTCCATTTTGCTTCAATCATAGTAGAAATTTCTCATTGCCTCTACGCTTCAAAACAAAACACATAAAACGTAGTATTCTTCTGCTCTTATTTTTCACATATTATTTCTAGATACGTGGTTATTTTTTCTGTAAAATGTAATCGTTATATTTTCTTGTTTTGCTTGGTGTTTCCATATATACAAATATCTCATGGACACTTTAGCCAATGCAAATCAAGCAATACCTGAAAATTATATATCCACTCACCACTTCCAAAAGTATGCCTCTGCTAAAGCAATTACAAATGGAAAAAAAATCCTCATCGGCACACAATCTTCAAACAAGCCTCAGCACTTGTATTACTACTCAATTTCTCTTCGCATGAAACTGACATTGAAGGAATGGAAACGCTACTAAAACCTCATTATTCACTTAGAATTTTCAAATATAAGACATGACTATTTACCTATTTAGTTTTGGAGGTAGGATCCAGGGAAGGACAGTGTCGTAACAGAACCGAGCCAATCCTTATTCAAAATGAGATCCTAATGCAATCCTTGCATATGTTTTCCCCTTTAATAACTGAAAGATCCATAAAGATCCAATTTATAAGAATTATTGCCTTCATCAAGTTGAGATAGATCTCCTAATCATAAGAAGTCTAACAAAGTTATTAGATGTTACTTGTTAGTGGATATATGTTTCCTGAAAGAATGAGAAGCAGACTGGTTTTGCAAGATCAAGGGTTGAATCAAAGCTTAGCTAGTTCACAGTGCAAATTATTTTGGCAAAAAGGTCGGGTACAAGAGATCAAGTTTGAATATTCACATCTTATGGATCTTACGTTGGACCTTCAGAATCAGTATCAAAAGAATATGGATTACTGTTAGATTTATCATCATAAGACAACAATAAAGACAAATACATAAGTGAATCACAAACAGCTTTATACAAAATGTAATAAAAATATTACCTTGGCAACATGCTCTAGAGTAATAGCCTCCGGGATAATAGCCGCGCGCAGCTTAATCTGAACAAACCCGTTGCTTCCTTTCAATGGAAAGCACTGCCCAGGCTCTCCAAAACTTGGCTTCAACATCTTGTCTGCATCACTATGAACCCCATTTGGACTTTTCAAAAACCAGTTGATTCCCTTCCCAGCAAGAAATGGCTCTGAATGCTGAACAACCTTTCCCCCACCTGAAGACAACGCATAATCAACCTGGCCGAGCCCATCCGAGGCATGCTTCTCAATCTCTTTCTTAACAATCTCTCTCGCATATGCTCCTAGATCACTTAAACTCACTGCATTGCCAGACTCGCCACCACCCTTCTCTTTTAGCATTTGCTCATACATCTTTCCAAACTCTTCCTTTGTCAACAAATCCGCACT